GGAAGGTTCCCAGCAAAAAGGGCCTAGGGGTTAGGGTTAGTAAAAAAGTGAAGATTACATGTACATGTAGGTGTAAAAGGGTTACCAAATTGCTGGAATCTCTGCTTTTCGTTGAAGTTGAATAGCAATCAAAATGAAAACAGGTTCTTATTTTCTTGTTTTATTTAAACAAGAGTCCTACCGGTATGTATGTTATCTGACCGACTCGTCCTCCCCCTTCCCCCGTTCTTACAGACAAGAGTGACACCCAGCGGATCATCATTGAAGTCCAGAATGTTGACGAGCCGCCCCAATGGGAGATGATTGTGTACCCTTACATTGAGGTGGTACCTGTTGATGCACCTTCAGGTGCCTCTCTCTATCAGCTGAGAGCATCTGATCCCGAGGGCTTTACTGTACGCTACTATCTCAACTCGGGTATGCCTTTTTTCCCCCCTCCGCTTGTGCTACCTTTAGTTTGCAGTTGAATTAACACTGAGAATCAGACCAGACACGAATACGCAGGGAAAATTCATGGTTCGTTCCCTGGTTAATTGGTGTGTCACTTCAAATCACCAAGACCATGAGAATCTGTGATTAACTGACTTAATTTTAAAAAACAAAAGCACAACGTGCAAAATATGAAGCTGTACTTGAACCTTAAAATGGCATACGAAGCGGTGAAATGGAAGTTATGTAGGTCATAGAAATGTTGACTTTCTTTTGTGTTGTGGAGCTGGTAAAAAAGTCAGATTTTGAGTCATTAGGAACTGCATTTATGCACAGAAATGGCTTTGTTTTCTAAAGGTGGGAGCGGCATGTTCACCGTCGATGAGGACAGCGGCTGGATTAAGACAAGTCTCTCCCCAGGCCAGACCTACGAACAAGACAGGAAATATGTCCTCAGTGTCTACGCTCAAGACGAGAATGGAAGCAGCATTCCCGCAGAGGTCAACATCTTTGGCGGGACCCACCCCCCTCAGTTCACAAAGGAGGTCTACCAGGCTACGGTGGTGGAAGAGGTGAACCCTCCACAAAAGTGAGTAGGCGTGGAGGCGGCCATAGGTGTGGCTGTTGGTGAGAACGTAGGCGCGGCTTTATGCGCGTCCATAGGTGTAGCTGAGGTGCGGCTGTTAGATGTAGCCGAAGGATTTCCTGCTAGGTATACAGCAAGAAGTACATGTAGTTTAACATCTGTTCCATGTGCTAGCATTCTGTTGCCTGCAAAGAAGGGATAGGCTCAGGGTTGGAGCTATTAGCTGGCCCTTACCTGTATTCCAAATTACCGGCCAACACATTACAAGAAAATAAAGCTTGTTGGCTGGCAAAAATTTGGCGGCATGGTATGATAACTGCAATTATATTCATCTTTCTCCTTATTTAAAGCATTTGTTTCACTTAAAAGTCATCATTTACATGTAGTTGGCCCATGTACATGCGCTGCTCATTCTTGAAGCTGATTCTACGCTGGTTCAGTCATTAAGCATCAAACAACTGGCTCCAACTGGAGCCTGTTGCATTTGTTACCATCCTTACACAAGATCTGCCTATTTTTCAAAGACTTGGTTTAGCTACCTCAGTGTGAAATCAAAGGATAGTACTTGCCCTGTCTTACACACAGGCTTGGTCTATAGCCGTGCTTCGTGGGGAGTGCACATATTTGTTTTTGCAACCTTGGGGCTGTTTTGAACTTGCCCGACTGAACAGCTTTTGATCTGTGTTGCCTTGCCTTGTTTCTCTCCAGTGTCATCGATGTTCGGGCCTTCTCCTTTAACAACCTGGCCGTCACGTACTCGCTCCTGAACAACAATGACGTTGACTCCAGGATTCCGCGCCACACCATCAGCGCGTCATCTGGTCAGATCACCCTGCTGGACAAAGTGGACCGAGAGACGCTGAGCTCTTACTTCCTGGACGTCAGGGCCACTGAAGATACCCAAAGCAATGATGGCCTGAGCACCACCGTCAGGGTACGGTCTGATGGATGGATGTGTCATTCTTTGCTTTAATAAACAACCTTTTAGAAATGTCCAATTTGAATTAGCTCTATATTGTGCTGTGCACTCTTATGTCAAGTATTATGAGTTATTGTCCAGTTTTTGTTTTATCTTCTGACGCCTTCCAGGTTCAAATCACATACGGTTTAAAAGTTAGAAATGAAATTTTTCACCTTCCAATTCATAAGCATCGATAGCACAGGAATGTGAGACTACTGGTCAATATGTGGCCTAGGACTTCGTCAACCACCCTTGGTAAAACTGAAGTTACCCAAACTTCACCAAATCTTCCAAAATATAGCACAGTAGTTCTAGGAATTTTTTTCTAGCTTCAGGGCTCAAGAGCCACTGTTACATGCGCTTCACGTGTGCTTTTGCATTGATAAACTCAAAGAATGTGCCATTGATGTTGAGTTGACAAGGTTCTGAGATGCTTTCCTGCTGACAAGGCCTTAATGTTCGCTGTATAACTGTTCATTGTTGTTTCCTAGTCTTTCTGGACTGTTACATAGCAATTGTAGATTCAAAGCTGCGAAGAGTTGAGCATTTACTTCTGGCAGGAAATTTGTTGTTTTTTTAATTTGTTGTGCTTTTTTTTATTTCACAGGTGAATGTAGACGTAACTGACATCAACGACTGTAACCCCGTTTTTGGCCAAAAGACGTACTCCTTCAGAAACATCCCTGAGACCATTGGCACAGATACATTGATAGGATCAAGTAATGCCAATCTCTTGGACCCATTGTTCCCCCTGACGCCACCCTGTTTTTCCAAAGTACCCACCCTGTTTTTCCAAAGCACCCATCCTCTCTGTGGGTTTGCCCCTGTCATGTTTATTGTGGGATGACATTGCCATTAAGTCATTCATCTTTGTGTTTGCCACATTTATGAATAAAAATGAGGATGTAGGGAAGGTACCGTTATGTAAGCATGGACATTAAAAAAAGTGAAAGTGCTTATTTAAAACTGCAGATCTTGAAAAGTTGTCCTGTTGTTATTTCCACACTGTTTTGAATTGTAGATGTTGAGACAAAACATTGTATTGGAGGTTTTTTGATTTCATGCCCCCCTACGAAACGTCATCTCATTGTCATCTCATTATCATCTCATTATCATTTCATTATCATCTCATTCAATCCATTTGGACTGTAACTTGTTCACGATCTGATACCACTCCATCAGTTGAGGCCACAGATTGCGACGCAGACCCCAACAACATCCTGACCTATACGCTCAGCGGGGCCCAGGCTGAAAAGTTCCGTGTTGTCGGATCGGGGGACCTGTACCCGGCCAGCAAGCTGGACTTTGACGTTGGCGAGGGCTTCTATGAGCTGCGGGCCACTGTTCGGGACCAGGCAGGGGGTACGGCTGAGGCCATCGTGTGGGTGTACCTGACGGACTTAAATGACGAACCCCCGGTCTTCCTGAACACGGAGAACTACGTGTATTACGTGGACGAGGATGCAGTGAACGGTTACATCGTTGGGACTGTCTACGCCAGTGATGCTGACAAAGATAGTGTCATCACATTTAGCCTTCAGGGAACCTACCCCTTCCGTATAGATTCTGCAACTGGTGAGTTATTTTATACTTAGTTTGACCAAGCAGCCTATCTTATTATCAATCTTTAATAGCCAGAAGTGCTCCTTGACGTGGGGCAGATGTGTTATAAGAAAAGTCCATTTGCAATTCGTTATCTAAAAGTTCATCGAGTCCTTGAAGAATCAATCCCTCTCTTTCATGCACTAGTTCAATATTTTTCAAATTTGCCATTTGCACACTGCATATACTCCTCCTCCTGAGAGTACTAGCCAGCCACCACAGGGCCAGCCAATTTCTAGCTGGCAGCAGAGTTTGTCCTGGTCCCTTTTCAAAAAGTGTCCCGTCTGTAAAGCAGCCTTTTATTTTGGCGAATGGTGTGTCAATGTGTTTTGAGCATTTGATTTTATGTAGGTCTAGTGTAGCGTTTGTTGTCAGCAGTTCATGATGTCCTCTCCCCAAAATGCTCAACTGCTTGGAATTTTCGGCAAATGCAGGTGTGATATCACATGTTGGCACCAACAACTTGCCGGAAGCCAGCTATAGTTTTAATGTCACTGCGACTGATGGCACGTATACCAGCTATGCGGAAGTGGAAATTGTGGTAAACGACATCAACGACAACCCGCCAGTCTTTCAGGATTGCGCGAGCTATGCGCCGTCCATCTCTGAGGATGCAGCTGATGGCACATCCCTCATCACGGTTCGTAGTAGCCATCATCCTGTTACTTGAAGATCACACAAGTTCAGACCATTGAAACTTGAATGCCCTACGTTTTGATAGTCACTGCTCTCAATAGAACAGAAATAATGCAGAAGGGTGGACGGGTGTTGTGAGTAGGTCACACACCACCTCTCTCCTTTGTAGATGATTGTATTGTTTGTAAACACATGATGTAAGACTTCAACTGGGAAGAATAAGGGCTTCTGAACTCTATATGGCAACAGAAAATGCCTCCAAAAATCTGAATCTGTTGTCAAACTATCAAGCAGATAGCTGTACGAGGCAGCTCAACTCGTTTATTTTAGCGACAAGTCTTTCTCCTCACACACAAGGAAGAGAAGAGAAGACATTTCATGTTATTTATTAGCCTATGTGCCAGTAATGTGGACATGTCTCGTCAACAGGTGGTGGCTACTGATGCTGACAAAGGGGCAAACGCTGCCATCAAGTACAACATTCCTGGGGCCAACATTCCCTTCCGCGTGGACGCAGACACGGGCGAGATCTTTCTCCAGGATCCTTTGGACCGGGAAAGAAACCCCACCATTGACATTGTCGTCACAGCAACAGACCAGCCCGCCAACTCCTTCAGCAAAACCGGCTTCTGTGTCATTACCGTGACTGTCACCGATGTCAATGACAACCGGCCCGTCTTCCGGTTGGAGCGCTACGTCGGTGAGTACAGGATTTGGAAAATAAAATTTGAGGGTACACAGATGTCATTGAATATCTCAGCAAAAGAGGTCACCATCTGAAGGTTCATGGAAATTGATTACTGGAGACTTGTTCTCTCCTTGCTTGTGCTAGGTGCACAGATCGGTGTTAGTGGCCCCGTGAAATTTGGCCAAGGTTAAACGAAAAACCAAGGATGACTTCAGAGCTAGTTGTTCAGCCCAAGCTGAGGTCACCATTCTCATTCTGGAAACCCATTCATATCTCTCTCACCAGTCTCTCCTCTTCCATGCACGTATAATGGACTGCTTTTTTTTTCCAATTTTTTTTTTCTACACAGTGTCTGTTAGCAGCTCAACCCCAACACGTCAAACCATCTTAACTGTTAATGCTGAGGATGCAGATGCCCAATCGTCCATTACTTACAGGCTCACCGACCAAAGTCCTAACCTCTTTGGCATTCGGCAGACTGGAGAAATCTTTCCCCTCATGGGCCTCTCTGCTGTAAGTACGTTTTATATAATCCGCAATGCATTTGTTTTGTCTTGCTGTGTGTGTGAGTTTGTTTCTGCATTCAATTGGGGACCCTGAACAATAGAGGACAATAAGGTCCCCGATTGACAGAGGGTCCCCGATTGACAACTGTGTACAAAACATGTGGGTGGTCTTCTAAAAAAGTTAAAGTACAAACAAAAGAGGAACAGTAGGGGGTCCCCAGTTGCAGGCAAATACACACTTGTGTGTGTGTGTGCATTTGCTAAGCAGTTACTCCAGTCAGCAGTCAACTTCGGACAGGATACGTGGGTTGGTCTTGGTGTGTCCCAGAAGTCAAAGGATTTTGGACACCGTAAGTGAGAGATCAAGGTTGTTACAGTTAAACGATACAAAATACTTCTTCCCTGCCATAACTGGAGCCAGACTGAACCAATCAACGTTTCACTTGGTTTTATTGGTTGCTTTTAGTATAAGTCTAGAAGCCTAATGGAACCCATACATGTAGGTCAAAGGTCAAGCCCAGAAAAACTGGTTTTCCCAGTGTAACTTGAGGAAGGCTAAACGTTAATTTCAATCTCAGTATATGTATGTCGGTCTTGATGTCCTCCAGAAGTTGACTTACTGTGGGCTCCACAGGTCAGAGGTCAAGGTTATTCTTGTTTGAACAATACAAATGATTTTCCCGCCATAGCTCAAGAAGGACTGGCCGTATAAGGTCCCCACCGGTATCAGCATCAGGAACTAATTGGTCCATTTCCAATAGCTTAGGGAGCCAAAATCAACTAACCAGCCGAAACAAACCAGGCGATATTTGTTTCCCCACTCCTCATACATATTCAGTTGACTTACAGTGCCCTAGGGCAGAGATCATGACAGCATTATGCCCCATTCCCATGTGCCAGGTGCATTCCTCCCTCTCTGCACAGGGATTATAACAGCAGGCCCATTCTCACCGAAAAAACCCCAAAAAGTGTGCTTATTGTTTAAAACATATCACGAAGTTACATTTAGTTAAGTCAGGGCAAAATCCTGCTTTTACCAGTCAAGTCCGAAGTCAATTTTTCGGAGTCAAGTCTCAAGTGAAAATGGAAAAACAAAAATAGTACTGACTTCAGTCCGAGTCAGTGATTGGAGTCAACTTCAAAAAATTCCGTTAACCTTTGGTGATACCCAAATAAAGACTACTGTGAGTTTTTATTATAAATGCACACGTGACTCTACTTTCTGAGACTTCTCAATTGGTTGAACATTCAGTTCAAAGTCTCAGCTGACCTTCCAACTCCATATGTATGTCATCTGGAAGAGATAAAGGAAAACAAGTGTTACTTATCGTAACCATTTTCCGAGACTCCCTTGATGACCGTTTCTTTGAGCTAGTGTTGCAATTTTGGGCGTGATGCTGCGTTCTGAATGTCGGAATGGGAAAAGTACTTTTGATCTTGGCCCTTACAAGTAGGTTTATTGATATTCGTACATGCATAATTCACCTAGGTGAAAATTCCACGATACCGGTAGGCTCCTGAAGCACACCTTTAATAACCTGTTTCCAGTTAATAGTTTACTATGCGTGCATTGTTGACAGATGCGCATATCCTTGTGTGCAGACCTAGTCAAGTGCAAAAATAATGAACTAACTGTCGTTTCAAGTTTACATTTCCCCCAACTGGTCTTTCATTGACAGTAATATTACTATTTGTGTCTCTGCAGTATGAAGGCAGAACCTTTAACTTCAAGGTTGTAGCTGATGATTCTGTCAAGGAAGGCACAAGCAATATTGAAGTCAATGTTCTGACCGCATTGGCGGTTGACCGGCCACCTGTCTGGGTCACCGTATTTGACGATATCAGGTTGCCGGAAAACACGACTGTCCCTCAGGTCATCCGAATACTGGAGGCAACTCCCCAGAGTAGCAATGAGGTGGGCTTCAGCATTGTGATTGGTCAGATCCCGGAAACAAACTCAGAGGCCCAGTTTGGTGTTCGGAACCTTGGCGGCGTGAACAGGGCCGAATTGAACCTTGACATCCCTCTGGATTTCGAAGTGACAAGCGAGTGAGTAGTTTCAACCGTGCGACCACTGCTGTATGGTCAGATTACAATTCTTTCAAACGATTAAATTTTGTCAGCTACCCTGCCCACAGTTGTCGATAAGTCTGCTTCAGTAATGTGGTACTTTTTTTTTCAGGGTATTTATAAATCAGGGGACCATTTTTTTTCATGTCCGTGTCACATCTGACTTATGATTTTGTAAGTTCAGAACACATTTCCTAATTTCCAAGAGAGGTGAATTAATGCAAATTACTTACCAAACATATACTAATAGTTTGAAATCATTTCCGGTTATATTTCCATGTCAAGTAACAAAGGTCAGATGTAACAGGGACATGAAAGTGTCACACTTTTGGACCCCTAATTTCTGGAATTACGGCTGAACATTGAACAAGGAGCCTTTCAGTAGAACCCAGCACCTAGTTATCTTTAAATATTTATTTCTGTTGAAAGAAACAGAAGGCCTGAGCAGCCTCCTGACACTTCTACCTTAACCCTAACACTCCTCAATCCTTTACCTGTTGGAGGACTGAGGAGTGTTAGGGTTAATGGTGGGAATTTACATTTAATTTGAAAAACGTGACAGTGACGCGACAGCGTGTGATGCTCCTTTTCTCTGGCTCTGTTGAACTCGGTATGTGCTTCCTTTCCCCTCCTCCCTCTCAACAGGTACTCACTACAGGTGGATGCTACCGATGACGGCACCAGGTTGTCCAGTTTTGGAACTCAAAAAGTGATTGTTGAGGACGTGAACGACGAAACCCCGCAATTCACCCTCAGCAGGTTTTTCGCTGCTGTACCCGAGGAAGCCACTCCGCCATTCGATGTTATTACCGTTGCAGCTGTTGATGCGGACACGGTGAAAGAATTCAGAACGGTGAGCTGGTTTTCCTCTTTGTATTCCCAGTCAGTAAAAGGAAGCCACATGGAACGCATCCATTCTGACAATGGCTCCGATATATGTGTATGTGTGAATCGGCTGTTAAAGGATCTTACCAATTCATTTTTCTAAGACTTTAATTTAATGCACCTCTTCTCCAAAAGAAAAGTGTTTGACATTCGTTGTAGGTTGAAGGATCCATGAAGTGAACTTTTTCTCTGTATTTTACTTTCTACCTATAGTTGTTCACTTCTTTAATTTATAAAAACTGTTTGAAATCTTTTTAGTGTCCTAAAGAGTACACTTCCTTAAACATTAAAAATCGGTCAAGCTTTTCTCAACAAGTGAGGGCGCTGTTACTTTGATGAAAAGCAGGGAAAACACTCCTGATAAGCCAACTGATGTGAAGCAATTTGCATTGCTTGCGCATTTTGTTGGGAAGCACATGCAGTGATGCTTGAATGAAGCACTGGTTCCTTTCAATAAAGAGTGTGCAAATAATAAGGAAGCACCGGGGAGCCAGAGTGACACTGCATTAACACGAAGTACATGAAGAAGTTTGACGAACGATAACAACGATGCAAACTTTTAGAAGGAAATCAGCAAAGTGATGCACAGAACAAAATGTTCCTCAATGTGTTCATGCGTGACCACGTACATGTCTCAGTACTGACATTGTATTGTAAAGTGAATCATGAATTTACAGTGGACCATTGCTGGCCTTGATATACAGTGGAGGCCAATTAAAGTAAACATTGTATTTCTTGACTAACCACTGCGGTTTACAAAATTCCAATGTCTAAACTTTTGAATAGAACCCATTGACATGTTTTTATTGTCTGTGGGTCTATAAGTTGGAGTGTTGTAGCAAACAAAAACCACTGTCATGTTTAACCATATACTGCTCGGGAACCCGATTTCGGGTACTTTGGGTTTGTACGCATAGCCGGGGTGCCCAAAATCGGACAAAAGAGCTGAGCCTTGTAACAAAAGACCGTACTTGGAACAAAAGACCCGCTGCTGGGAATTGCAATCATTTTTCAGCTTGCATTTATCAAAGGTAATCCGTCATTTTTTTTTAACAGTATACCACTGTTTTTGGCATAGCGTGCCCGTTGATTAGCACCACAGATAAAAGTGTTCCAGCTCCCCATCAAGGAGCAATACAGTACTGCTGCACGCTAATCCAGCTGCGTTTGGAAAGACACCACTGACATTCACTGGAAACATAGGAAATTACGCAACATCTCACAATTCTGGGTTCTCCTTACTGGGTGGCAGGCCTGGCTGAAATAGCCGGGCGTCAATGGAGGTTGCCAGTCAGATTAGAGTAGCCACCAAACAGTCATCCGTGTGGGTGTAAACGTCCATCAAATGAAATTATGAATTTTTGAAGAATTTTGAAAAAGGAAAATCTTGAAATTGCCTGTATGTAGATACTGCATTTTTAAAAGCACCCAGCAGGAATTGGTTAAGGAAATGGTCCCTTTTTCGCACATCTCTTCTGTACATTAGGATGACTAGATCAACTGCCTTTTAGTGAAATGGCTCTCAAACTGTTTGTTGTTAACGTCCCTGTGTTAGTTGAAACCATCAGGGGGAAAGGGAGAGGGGGCGGAGCAACGCCAAGGCTTTCTGGCTATTTAAAAAGTTGTCACTACTGATTCACTCTCACTTGCCCGTATGTGAAACTTGAACATGGGCAGCTTTCAGATGTGCCTTGAAATGGGTTCCAGTAGAGGAAATGACTCCCCAAAGGCATTGCTACGTACATCCAGCAGATTACGCATAAGATCACGGGAAAATACGATGTGGACTAAATAAAACCAATCTACATTTTGTCCTGCGGCTCATCATGGCATTGTGCCCCAGGAATTGCTTTCCCCAGAGTTGTGTGTATGTAAATTCATGTGATGTCTTGTCTCCTGACTCTTCCAGATAACGTACTCTTTTGATGCATCCTTTCCGGACGCCCAGTTTTTCACCATCAATGGCATCACGGGCCAGATTTTCAGCCAGATCAAGTTTGACCGCGAGGTCAAAGACGAATATGCGCTTCAGGTCATTGCGACGGATGGTGCTCCCTCCAGCAACCCTGCCCTTGGCGGTGAACCAAACAAAGGTATGCATTTCCCCATCCTCCTTAAATGCCAGTCTTCAAGGTCTTTAATTTTCCGTAATTTCAATTCCTCATCTACACTGTAAACTGACAACAGAAGACAGCAGACAATGCCGTGTAATGTCCACCAACTAAACACACAGGTACTTCGCGTGTACTTAAAGATATTTTGCTTTCTGGCTCTACAACTTTTTGTGTATTCCTATCTGGAAAGGTTGAAGTCACTACTTCTCCTCCACAAGTTGAGAGATGAATTGAATTTTTTGTCCAATGCTTGTGTGTCTGTTCATGAAACCAAGATAATCCGCGGCGTTGTTTCGCTACGTGTACGCAAAGAGCGCGTGTTTGTGTCGAATAGTTCTGGAGGATGATTAGGATCTGTACTGGCCACAGATGGCCCCTGCCATGTCGTTTGAAACTCAGAAGACCGACAATCAAAACCAGGAATAACTTACAAAGTTCCGCATTGAAGAAATCCACTGAACCCCGAGTCGAACTAGAACCAAGCTTATATTCCTCATCTTGCACTCTGTCTCTCTTGAATTTGTTCCTTTAGATTATGTCCGTGTGACCATCAATGTGGTGGACATCAATGACAATCCCCCTGTCTTCAGCTCCCCCATCTACAATGTGGTAGTGAGGGAGGATCGACCTGTCGGTTATGAAATCATCCAAGTCACTGCAACTGATGTGGATTCAGGTATGTAAAGTGCGATGTCCATCCTGTCCATTTATCAATGCGGCTCTTGAAATCTCTGGCGGTGTTGAGTTCTATTGTAAAATAACAGGACTGACCCAATACTGTAACCAAAAAAGATATCGCATGCGAAGAGATATGCATCAGTTGAATGGGTTAACACCATTCATATCTCGTCTTTTGACCCCTCCCCCAAACAGATAGTGTTCCACGTTACCTGATTACGGCAAACAATACCGGTGGAGTTTTTGACGTGGACCCTGCCACCGGCCAGATCTCGATTGCCTCACCCCTGGATTATGAGACGCAGACAGAGTACTGGCTGCAGTACTCGGCCACCGATGGCCTGAACGTGGAGTACACCACCATTCGCATCCAGGTGACCAACGTGAACGACGAGAGGCCAGTCTTCAGCCAGCCTGTTTACCGGGACAGCGTGGCGGAAAATGATGCAAACGTACCACGGCAGTTACTGCAGGTTTGTTTTTTAACAGGGTGGTACGCTCTTAGAACTTACAAAAGGAACCCGGAACTAAAGGTTCGGTAGCACCTTTGAAAATCCAGCAATGCTTTGGTGGTGTGTAAGTTTGTTGATGTCACAACATTCAGAGCTGGTCAAAAAGGAAACACATCATTGAAAAATGCAAACTGCGAAGTAACAACAAAAAACAATGCTAAATTCCAAGATCATTCGATCAAACTAACCAGTACAGGTAGTTCTGTGGTTTATAGCCACAATTTTATGTCAATGTTCAGAGATGGTTTCCCTCCACTTATATACAAATGTGGTCTTGGTCTCGGACGGCTGATCCTGGTCTTCGGTCTTGGTCTTGGGTTACTTTTTCTGGCCTGGTCTTGGTCTTGTTCTTGATCTCGGACGGCTGATCGTGGTCTCGGTCTTGGACTGCCTGGCCTTGATTACAACACTGGGTGTGACCAATAGTTGAAGTCAGATCTTTAGATGGCCGGGCCAGATTGAAGCTCCTCTAGCCTTGGGCAAGTCTGTGGCTATTGTACAATTCCATGCAGTGTGCAGACAACTTGCACAATTGGATCTGTCAGCGCTGAAATTTTCTTTATTTCCAGGTGTCGGCTCAGGACGGTGATGCCGATGCTGATCAAGGTGCCATCAGGTACTCCCTGGAAGGCTCCGGAACTGACGGCGTCTTCAGCATCAACTCCCAGGACGGCTGGATCTCGCTGAACCAAGAACTTGACAGGGAGGCCGTAGGCCTGTGGAAGTTTCTGGTGAAGGCCACTGACGGGGTGGGCACCCCTACATCCCTGACTGGCTACGCCGACGTGGAAGTGACGGTCTTAGACCAGAACGACAACGACCCGTTCTTCCCGGAGCTGGAGTACAGAGGGTCCGTCCCGGAGAACTCGGTCGCTGGTAAGCACTTCCTGGTAGAATTCCAGGATTAGGGCTAAAGAAGATAATGTGGATTAAGATTTTATTACATTTGACTTTCTTGTTACTTTTTGTTTTATTTTTAGCATGTGATTGGAATGAAGTGTAATTGCTAGAAAACCTGATTAGATTTGCACGTGTCACTAAAGGCAGACCTGTTGGTCAAACGGCCACAGAGAATATGTCCAAATGCTTGTCTGCCATAGCTTTGAAATAAGTGTTGGGTTAAATATATCTCATTGAACGTTTTTTTTTCCGAGCGTGTCATTGAGTATGCTTGGTTCCTCTTCAAACCCTCGACCCTAACACTTCTCTCCACTTCTCTCCACTTCCACTCCCCCTCCATCCACAGGGACACAGGTCATGCAGGTCACTGCCATTGACTATGACGATCCCACCGGCTTTGGCCGCCTCACCTACTCCACGGTTACCGCTGCAGGGATAGATAATGATGGCTCAGCCCTCTTTGAGATCGACTCCTCTTCGGGCTGGGTGACGGTCAAGTCGGGGGCCTCGCTGGACCGAGAGACCCAGGACATGTACACCCTCAGGATCCGGGCAGAGGACTCTTCAGGCGCCTTTGGTAGGTGTGACAAAAGGCGAGCTGGAGCGACGCTCATTTCTCGACCAGCGATCGATTTTGCCCGGTACCCGGGATACATTTGTGCACAGGTTACCTGGAAAGAAATCAGCCCCTGGTGACTAATGGCATCGCTTACAGTCACCCAGCAACTTGAAGCCTGAAAATGCTGAGCAAATCTTTTGAAAAAGTAGATTCAAAAAGTGGGGCAAGGTTTGAAAAATTCTTGAGAACTTATTTGAGTGTTGGCTGAACATGTTTTGTTCTGTTCCTTCCTTCAACTGTTGAAAATAAATAGAATCCTGAAAGAGGTCGGGAGAGGGGTGACTCAGGTCAAATAAGAGATGTATTAGAATAGTTTAGAGTCATTTTCCCTTTGGTTTGTGGTGCTTTTCTTAGCCTTTATCCTTATCAACTCAAAAATTTCAAGATCTCTCCGTGATGTCTGTCTAACAATGTCAGATGCAATAAATACTACATGTGTTGTGCTGTTTTCTTTTGTTTAGCTCAAACGGATGCAATAATTGAAATCCTGGACCTAAACGACAATAAACCAGAGTTTATCGGAGGCCCCTACACCACGGCAGTCTTGGAGACAGAGCCAGTGGGAGCCACAGTGTACGAAGTCTCAGTCTCAGACCCCGACATTGGTTTCACCGATGAAGTCCAGTTTGGCATTGTCAGCGGCAACGTCGGAAACCGATTTGAAATTGTGGCAGATCCACTGACACTTGTTGGACTCATTAGGATTGCCAATGTAAGTGGATGAACCCCCCCCAGACATTTACTAACAGAGATGCCAACTTGTACGATTGGGGTAATTTTTATGATTTTTTTAGCCCGTCTATGACTGTACGATCCAGGCTAAGATTTCTATGATTTCCAACTCGAAGGTACAAAACCATACAGTTGTGTATAAACTCTGTGTAAGCTAGCATGGAGCCGGCCTTGTAATGCGCTCGTCAGAAATGTGTTGCTGGCATCCCGCAGTTTGTGCATACAAGCTGCGTGAGTAGCAGTAGAAACCAGCGTTGTTGAATCATCCGTTCGCCCCAATTAACGCAGTGATGAACAGGGGGTGAATAGGCGGGATTGCGCTTCATATGTAACATGATTGTGTACATCCATGCATTGTACATGTACCAATATCGTACACATGTGTGTCGAACGTCGTGATCGTGCTAAAGTTGACCAGAATGGAGGACTTTCAAGGATTTGATTCTTGGATATTTGGTGAGCAAATGAACTTGTTTTACACAGTGGCAACAAGTGAGCAGTAGTTCAGGGATGAATCCACCGCAAAAATGGGCCTTTATTGCAAAGTGTTGTCATGGAGAAGCTTACGTGTTTTGCAATGCATGTAACCGACATAAATATTGCCCATGCTGGATCGTAAGACATCGAGAAGCACATTACTTAGGCCAAGAAAAAATTGCTCTGCTTCCGATGAAATAGATTCGGTTGGTAAGGAGTTTTTGACAGTTTTTTGTGCTGATTGAACGGGATGAAAGTTGCCACAAATTGCCCACAAAAGTGATTAAGATAAAAACCAGAATTAATATAGAAATATAATTAAGTATTAATTACAATTCACACTTGCACAATGCTAAGTCAGGTAAATACAAGTATTTCGATGTGAAAAGAAGAAAATTTTTAGGGTCAGGTTGAAAAAATTATGGTTGGTCGGTAAACCTGAACTGGAAGAGTGATAAGATTACACTTTTTCATTTTGAAAGGTCGGCATCTCTGTACTAATGATCGCTGAAAAGGCAGATTCAGTTGAGTTCTAACTTGGATACGCAAATAATTCATAAACAGGCTTGGTGTATCGTGATTCTTTTATGTTGCAGACAAAATCTGTAATATCCTGTGTTGTCACTTGTGAGTAACTTTATTAAAATCTCTGTGTTTTGTGTTTTTCCTGTGACAATAGCCCCTGGACTGTGAGGCATTAGATAAACAGTATGCATTACAGCTCACTGTTACGGACAACGCCAATGGACAGAGCCAGACGTCCATCACGATCAACGTCCAAGACGTAAACGACGTGGCGCCGCGGTTCTTGCCATCCAATGAATACATCGCCCCCAGTGTTCTTGAGAATGTGGCAGTTGGGACCCTCATACAGACAGTCACGGCCACAGATCCAGAGGAAGGAGCATTCGGCCTGTTCACGTAAGTCGGACCCCCCTCTTGTCATTTTGATCTCCCCCTGTCCAACAGAAACCTTTGAAGTAAGGCTTTGTCTTCCAAATGGTCTCCTGAAGTGACCGCTGCATTTGTTGTCACTGCGCGCTGACTCATTCATTGGCAACCAGCAGATACCTAGCCCTAGCCACAAGGTTTGAAGCTTGTCTCATACGACTTTGATTATGCTTCTCTCTTGCAAGCCTTTTGCAGTCGTGTGGTGAACTCGAGGCCATCGTTCAGACTATGCTTAATGTACCACTCTGCTTTACATCTTCTGTTTTAACCCTTCAGATCAATGACCGCTTTTGTAATGCAGTCATTGTCACCTTTCAAATCGCTTCCGCTACGTGGCTCTAAATTTTGGAAAGTCATAACTAGAGCTCTGTGCATGAGTGGAGGATACTTGGATAGGTTGTGGTCTGCCATACACCTGTGCATGGGAAGCTTTCTGCCCTGCATTTACGTGGGCAAGCTTCCACCATCAGTGCCATGAGTGCAGTCAGCACTCAGTCTATGCTTCCTTAGCACTTGACATTCAGATCTTTTCATTTTTCGGGTCAGGGGACTGCCCCATATTCCTGTTGACCACTCCCAGCACGGGGCACAATTTGCATTCTTTCGCTGCCCACTGTGACATTATCAACTCCAGTTGGTTCTTGATAGTGGAGAACAAGCCCTCAGAATGGAGCCCCTGACTGTCATTGTTCCTCACTTCAGTGATTGTTTATACTTCTCTGAATGACTTCAATTTTTTTTTGATATTTAGGTTTGCAATCGATGCAGCCTCGGATCGGGACGGCCTCTTTACCATCAGTGCTCCAATTGGCTCTGGGGCAGAAAGAACAGCAGAGGTGCGGACGGCAAAGGCTTTGGACAGGGAGACGGTGGAGACGCATGTGCTGACTCTCTTGGCCATTGACCAGGGTAAGCTTGACTTTTGACCTTTACGTGATCACCATACCTCTTTTTCAAAGCAGCTTTTGGTTCTATCTAAGGCATGCTGTAACCGTAGGACTTCCATGATCCAGAGTTAAGTATATCTTAATTTTTGGGGGGGATTTCATGTGTCAAACTCAAAAAAACGTGTTGCTGCATCTTTCTAATTTGTTCGATTTTTCCATTCCAATGTTTCCATTCTCTGGTGGTTCTTACCGTGAGCTGATCGTTACTTTCTCCCCATCCCCCTGTTGCAGGTGTGCCAGCGCTGATGGGCACAGCAACGCTGAACCTTACTCTCGAAGACATCAACGACACTCCCCCCACCTTTGCTCAAGATTACCGGCCAATGATCAGGGAGAACTACCCTGAAATCCAGTCTGTGGGCACGATCAGCGCCAAGGACAGTGACCCTACAGGCGGCGCCCCGTTCACGCTGGTAGTGGAACCGAACACAGACACGGAGAGCTTCACATGGCGAGACGTAGGAGGTAAGGGTGGGGAGAGTGGGATCGTGTCAGCAGAGTTGCCATCTAAGTCGGCTGCAACCCAGGTCACAAGCCAGGTTGCAGGCCAGGTTGCAGGCCAGGTTGCAGGCCAGGTTGCAGGCCAGGTTGCAGGCCAGGTTGCAGGCCAAGTCACGAGTCATTTGTAAATCAAGGCACAGTTCATGTCACTAGTCACAAGTCAAATCACAATCCAGATCATAGGTCAGATCCCCATTCAGGTCAAAAACCAGGTCACAAGTCAAGTTATGTTATAAGCAAGTTACAGTTGAGGTCATAAGTCAAGTCTTCATTCAGATCGCATGTTAATCACAAACCAGTCACAAGTCTAGTCACAGGTAGGTCAAAACTCATGCCACTAGTCAAGTCATTAGGAAGAGATTAACAGTGCCAAAAAGGTGGAAGGAATGTCCTCTTCACTGTGAGCAGCTTGTGACTAGACCCCAGACTGAATGACGTGGAATGTGCTTGCGATGGGACAAACCACTACATACATCAGAACAGCATGGAATGGGTGTATACCTGTGACAAACCACCTCCATTGTTGTTCCGTGCTCTGCCAACAGAAAACCAGCTGAATATCTCCTCGAAGCCCATCTCCTTCGACAGGGAGGTGCAGGCCTTCTACTCCATCCCAATCAGGATAACAGACTTGGCGCCGAACGGCAACTCGGCCGTCAACATCTTGGTGGTGGAGATTGAGGACGAGAACGACAATCCGCACGTCGGCATCAGCAAAGACATGCTGGTCTACAGTTTTGAAGGTAGGTAATGAGACATAGTTGGTGTGGTTTTTAAGAGCGCACCAATGTGAAAGCTTACATTATGTGATAAAATCATGCAGCAGTATCAATGCGTTTGCTTACGAGATCTGTAATGCTTTGCTGTGAGAGAGTGGCTTCTTTAAAACAAATCAGAGCTTCATTCTACCCTCTGCTTTGCCCCTTGCCTCACATTTGATTCAAAGCATTTACTCTTCGGATCCATATGGAAATATCTGTACTCCAAAGCACCGGAGTCTCTTGGACAGGTTGATGCATCTGTGTATGAAATGCAGCCGTGTTGAGCCAGAAAGTCCTCAGTTAAGTCATTCAGGCAGTTGAATCTGGAGGTAGAGCTTTTGAACACTGCAGTGTTAGCTCACCATCTGCCCCAATTAAGATCGGAGTGGCGGTCCTTTGGGACCTCACTCTGTGTGTACGTGAGCTGAATCGAGTCTGCTCCTGGCGCGGCATGCACTGAGCAGGTGCACCCATCTTTGAGCGTCTGGTCTTTGTGTCTGGTCTTCGCCTGACTGTTTTTTGCCAGTGAGGCTGCTGTCACAGACCCCCGATATGGTTGTGTTTTGTGAAATCATTGAATTCGTGAAATCAGTAAAAATTACTGGAGAGCATGTTCAAAGATTAGTGTTCAGCCAGTGGTTGACAGACAGGTGATTTGTATCCCAATCCCTGCATGTAATTAGAAACACTGCATACTCACAAAAAAGACAGTCATGAACATCTTTAGAGCAGGTACTCGTAGATGATGCAGTGCCTTTTTTGCTGTCCTCGATGAGGTGAAAATGTTGTCGAGTTTTAACATTCAAACTTCCTAGATCCTCTGAAAATCCACCCGGATGCTTCAGGTGAAGGTTTGACAAATCCGTATGTTGGAACACCTTAGGACTTGATACCCGTTGGAAGCAGTACTGAGAATTTGTCCTTGTGTGTCTGTGCATTGATGGATTTTGGAGGATTCAGGAAGGTCATTAGTAATGCCGGTTCTCATTTTTTGTCATTAGTCATTCAAAAATGTAGCTCTTGATGTGGAGGCAGTGCCTTTTCCATCGCAGCTTCCCTGACACTTCCCCCATGCTACTCAAACCTAACCCCCCGCTGTCCTGTTTTTATTCCTCCCTCCCTCTTCATTTGCATGACCTTTGCTTGCGACAGGTGACATCCCCGAAACCAGGATTGGTATGTTCATACGGCGATTTCCCTCCATTGTTTCTGTCACGTGTTGTCACAAGTTCATTGCAATGTTTGCTTGTGCCATGAAGGTCGCCATAGTTTGAAATGGCCCCAGTGTTCCGAGAGTTTTCAACAGAACCCATGTTACAGGTCGTTGTAGAGACACCTTTTTTTGTCACTGCACTTGAAGGGAAGACTTACCGCCCAAAGTATTCCCATCTGCACAGTTGGGCACTTTTTAAGTTTTTCGGTATCACCACAATTAGGATTAGCATTGCTTGTGAATAGCAGAAGGAAGCATCCAAATGTAATTGTGGTTGTGTTATACCATGAAATAGTTGTGGAAACCTGATGACTGTCAGGTACGACACGCAAGATGTCCATCTTGAAGTTGCAAATCATTCCTAATATCACAAATGATGAATGACAAATTTTACCTCATAACCTCATGAGGCCCAGTCGTTCCTCACATTATGCCTTCTATGACCTCTAACATGGCTTCCCATGGAAACCCTGTGTGCCCAGTTTGCACGCATCACTTCCCATAATTGACGTAAATATCATTTGCATCAGATGATTTGTTGATTGATTGAATTTTCTTGACAACTAACCACCCATTTTCATTGGACGTGTTCAGTATTAATCCCTGTAGTTTTTGTGTTTGGATTGTTTTAGTGGTATTTATGATACTGTGTGCTCAGCATTGATCACTCTCGTCTTTGGTGGGATGTTGCATCTTTGTTGTCATTCACCTGTCTAATGTTCTTCATCCTAGGCAGACTTTGTCTGTTTGCCGGCACAAAGAAAATTTGATCGCAGCATTTGGCTTACATTGAAAAAAAAAACTATGGTTGTGTTTTATCGTTTGAAGGTGAAGACGTGCTACATAGTTCACATTATCAAAACCATTTAAGCAAGTTCAGAAAGGAAGGTACTTTGAAGCTCTCTGATGACTTGTTTGAGAATCTTATTCCATCGCCCCCAAACTGTGTTTTCTTTTCTCTGCCAACGTCACACTCTAGACTTTCTTGTGCATGGCATTAATAAGAGCACTGTGCTTGACTGGCAATATGTGTATAACTGCATGAGTGTATTGCTGCCAGGGCATCTTGATCAGATGCTGTGTAACCAGAAAGATGGCTCTTCCCTTATGCGCAGTCTTTGGTTTTCAGTTCTCTCCATCCCTCGGTCAGACTTGATATGTTGCTGACACTGAGCTAAATTGTCGTGTATTGAACAACCAGTCAGAACTGAGTTGGCAAAAGGATTATTCTTGGCTTGGACTGATTGCGGTCGGCTTGCTGCATTCTAACAGACTGGAGACATGCAGAATGTGACTAATGTTTCTTTTTTGGGGGGGGATTGAAATGAATTTGTAGGTAACATTCCTGAGTCACCAATCGGCGTTGTCGGTGTGAGTGACCCTGACACCATTGAGGATAAGACCTACACACCAAATCTTTCGGAAACTCTCAAGCAGTACTTCCGGGTAAGTTTGGAATATTGTTAGCCTGACTGCATGTTGTACAGCTAGTTTCCTTATGCAATCATCTAAGAATAATGTTAAACAGTGTTACTGGGAAACATTTCAATGGGCAACCTTGTGACAATTGTTTTCACCTTGGCCCCTGCCAGGTTGATGCAGACTCTGGTGAGGTCACCATTTTGGCCGGCACCCCAGCAGACACGTACAGTTTCACGGTGCTCGTCAGGGATGACGGCACTTTCCCAGACCAGACGTCCACTGTCAACGTGGAAGTGCGGGACATTCCCGAGGAGGCCGTGCGAAGCTCGGGGTCCTTCCGCTTCCAAGGGGTGACTGCCGAGGATCTGGTCGGCTTGCCAGTGGGTGGTGGCCAGAGTAAGCTGGACGTCCTGAAAGGGATCCTGGCTGACATCGTCCCTGCCAAGTCCGAGAACATTGACATCTTCAGCGTCATCAACGTCCCTGGAGAGACCGACCAAGTCGACGTCCGGTACTCGGCCCACGGTTCCCCGTACTACCCACCCGAGAAATTGGACGGGGCTGCGCTGGAGAACAAGAAGAGGGTGAGTTTGATCGCCTCCTGGCAGTCTATTGAACGGGCACGCAGTCATTGCGCTCAGTTGTCATTGTAATCAGATTACAGGATTCGAGTATTCAACCCTAGCCCTCCCTGGTCCTTCGCAGACCTCGAGGAAGATTTGGAATGTTGGCCACAATTGCTGAAAGAAGAGTTCTTGAAAACGACTTGGCATTGGGCGTTACACTGACTGTCAAGTACCTGCAGTGTTAATTCTAGTTCTTTGACCATGGTGAATGGGGAAGGTTTCTTTCCAAACATTTTTCTGAAGCTAATGACATTTTCATCTTGCAAACATCTTTTCTCCTGTTTGAAAGAGCAAATCCAACGTGTCACCTGATAGCATTTGATAACATGGTGCTTTCTCTTCCGGAACAACGTGAATAACCTGTGACTTGCTTGTTATGACTTTTGGAGCTTTCCACTGAACATCCCTTGTCTGCAGATCGAGGACGAGCTGGGCTTGACCATCGGCATGATCAAGATCGACATGTGCCTGTTGGAGTCGGCTTGCGAGTCGGCCTGCACCAATGTGCTGGAGATCAACCCCCAGCCCACCTTGGTCAACACGCCCACAGCCTCCTTCACCTCTGTCACCACGCGCGTGGTGGCCCAGTGCGAGTGCGGAGCCAACATCCGCCAGCCCGGCCCCTGTGATTTTGACGCCTGCGTCAACGGGGGAACCTGTACTAATACGCAAGGGGGCGGACACACGTAAGTTTTAACTTGATCATTGGGATGAATTTTTGATTGATGTCTGTTGTGAGTAACACGTGTTTGATTGATCAGTTCCTACGAGGGAACTTTTCATGCATCTTCTCCCTGCCTTTCAGCTGCTAATCGCAGAAAAGATTTGCTCAATAGCTCAAATGAGTATCCCAGATGAACATGTATGTAAGTTTTATATTGTGTCTCATAGGTTTGCTGCAGATTTGTGCTTTGCACACTAAGTTGTTCAATCTCTGCAACTCAATGAAACGCAGGCCTGGTTGTTGATGTACATCTTTCTGAAGTAGCATGATAAGGCTCTTACAACTTTCTAATGCAGTGGGCAGTGTACACCTGCGTCAGTGGGTGATTTTATTTGTATCAGACTTGCTCCACGCTACATGTCCGATTGCTGTCTGGTTTTCTCGCAGTTGCGATTGCCCGACTGGGTTTGACGGCCCCGACTGCCAGCAGACCACCCGCGAGTTCAAGGGCCAGGGCTTTGCTCACTTTGGCACCCTGCAGCAGTGTGAGGATACCCACACCTCCCTGGAGTTCATCACCACCGTGCCCGAGGGTGTGCTGCTCTACAACGGGCCCATGATCCCACTGACCGGCGACATGCCCCAGGACTTCATCCTGATCCAGCTGGTTGGTGGACAGCCCCAGCTGCAGATTGACCTGGGCTCGGGCAGCCTGACCCTGTCCATTCCGTCTGCCCGCGACCTCGGAGACGGCAAGTGGCATCGGTTGGATGTTTACCGGAATGGAAAGGTAGAAATTTCAGAAACTCAAAAACTCAGATGCCTGCACATGCCTCAAACCATAGATACACATTGATACATTGTAAAGATTGTTTTGGATGCCTTTTGGCTACTGGAGTGTTTTATGCTCAGAATGGCCAGACCATTTTGATAGTGGCAGAGGCTTTTCTGAATATTTCAGTTGGTTCATTCTTAGTCTTTTGTGTGTTGTTTTGGTGGCCTGCATTCACTCTTTCTGACATCTTGCACAGGCGTTTGTGAAATATTTCTGATTAATTTATTAATGATGTTGTAAATCTGATTTTAAGAATTATATATATAACTGGATTATAAAAGAATAAGCTGATCAAGGAAAATCAGTTTTAATTTATTATATTTTTATGACACAGGATGTTGAATTCATGCTGGACCGTTGTAAAGATGCCTCGGTTGCGGAAGTGTCCAGCTCCAGCACTAGACAGACAGACCAGTGCAAGCAGACAGGCCAAACCCCAGGGGGCAACAAGTGAGTATAGGGGGCTGCTTGGGTACCCAAATACTAGAATCCGAACCCCCAAAGTGGGGAGTACCAGTCTCCACATTTTAAAGATACTTTGAGTGCGTGAAAGCCTCTCAAAGTCTTTCACCTGGAAGCGACTCATCTTCAAGGTGAAAGCCAGCAAATGGTGGATGTGCAAATGTTGAACCTTCAGCAGATGGAGTGATGACTTGCAGTGCGATGAGAAACATAAGTTTCCTTTTGGGAGTTTTCAGAATAAGCTGAGAAATTGGGAGTTTTCAGAATAAGCTGAGAAATAGAGCTTCATAGGTTCTGTCTTGAGCCAATATGGCCAAATGGGTCTGGTGTTTATCTCTGGCTGTAACAACTGAGGGATACTATTTAACCAGAAGTCATTCCCCTGCTGATGCGGAGGTACTCCAGGGTGAAGAGAGCCCAGTTGGTGTAAAGTAACTTGCCTAAGGACAAGCTACTATGGTCAGTAGTTGGATTCGAACCCCATACCGTCTGATCACAAGTTTACTGTCCTCACCTCAAGGCCATACCCTTCCCCCAATGTAGCCAAACTTCTGCATGAATTATTCAGTCTCTATTAGAAAAATCCTTTGAATCTAGTATTTTTTCCTGATTAAAAAAAAATCTTCCGCTCCAGGTTCCTGAATGTCAACACTCCTCTGCAGCTGGGTGGAAGAGACCTAGCAGCAGCGTTCACGTACCCGTCCAACATCAGCTTTGCTAGCAGCTACAACGGCTGCATGAAGGACGTGGAGCAGGACAGTACCCTCTACGACCTGCAGACTCCCGGCAAGGTGTCCAACAGTGATCCGGGCTGCTCGCGGCTGGCCTGTGGGGAGTGTAACAACGGTACCTGCGTTGGAGACTTTGATTCCTATGTGTGCCTGTGCAAACCAGGTTTCACGGGCACTACCTGCGACCAGGGTAAATTTAGCCATTTGAATATTCCACCAGTCTCTCCTGCATTTATAGAATTTGCATTTTCCCCCATGCTTAAGGAGTCAAAGATCATTAATAACAATTTCTTCTTGTCCCAAAATGTTCAAAAGAGAGCTTGGGAGAAATATGTCTCTGTTTATTTAAAGGGTCTGTGAAGTAAATTCATGGAGCTCAATTCTGACCCAGGATTAACCCCTTCACTCTGGGAGATGTCGACAGCCGCGGCTTTGTGTGAGGATTAGTGCATACCACACATACATTCTATTCATCATGCACCTGCGGTTTCAACGTCGGCCTGCTGCTGGACACGGCTTTGCATACCGGGCATACTGCAGCCCAGCAGTCGCAGTCAAAAGAATCCCGGCGTGAAGGGGTATTAACAAAATTGAACATGTGTAAAGAAAAAAACATCACTTGGGTCCAGACGCTAATCTGCCTTGGGTACATGTTTGTCGTTGCAGCAACCCCTGCCTATGACTTTGCGTTGGACAGTTACGTCAGGTACCAGTTGAAGGCGCCAGTGGCAATTGACTCGCGGGAAGGCAACTACATGGTCGCCTTCCGCACCCGGCAGAAGGAGGGACTGCTGTGGACCATCACCAGTGCCAACCGGTTGGAGTTCACCACCATTGAGGTGAGCTCACTGACCCATCTGAGAACCCATCATGAGAAGCTGTTACCGTTGTCAGATGCCGCTTTCAAATTGTACACAAGCCTTGAGTCTTGGAATGCGTGCAACGCATGCACGGGTGTTGTGCACTGGCAAAAACTGGCCATCTCCTTGGATTATTCCTTTAAGAAAGTGCTTAATGCAGCCGTTGGCAGCATGCTGCGATCTGGGGCAAGTCATTCTCTCCACCCTGGAGTAAACAGGGACCGGGGAGGGCAGATATTGTGATGGTTAGCCATGTGCGCCGACATGGCAGCATCAAGCTAGTATTCTCCCAGGGAGCTGAGTTGGTTTCAGAAATGTTCAGTTGTTGTTCACCTGATGTGCAGGGATAATAGACCCTATTCATGTGGTACCCATTTTTGATATTATTCCCCAAATCTGGTTTATACATCGCAAACTGTCGATTAGGATGGCACCAGACTGTTTAATATTTCCATGCATTCCAAGCCTCCCTTTCAATATTTTTCAGAATCTTGTAATGTACAATCCTACATGTATGTGTTCAATCATGAATTTGAAATTATTTATCAGAGTAGACAGGTGAACTTTGGTCATGAAATTTCCTTTTATTGCTTCGTTTGTACTCTCAACATTAAAAAATGAAGAGTTAACGTGGCCTTCAAATTCCTTGAGCACTTCCAGGGCGTATATGTTTCATGCTTTATAAATGGCCCTTATTGTTATTAGTGCCTAGAAATATCTGTCTGCATTAAGGGTTTCAGCCCTTAAGACAGAGTTGAGAGCCAGTCAGTCACATGTGGCATGAAGTCGCGAGCTCCTCATACACAGTGTGATGTTTGTGAACATTTTTATCTCCTGTCCCTGGCAACTTTAAGAGCAGTTTCTTTATTCGGCCTCACAGTGATCGTTTGTCACACTTAAATAGGAAGTTGCGGTTCATGGGCATTTTTGCCCTTGGCATGAGACTCGTGTTGCTAGGAAGTGTTTCAATTAAAATGGTCTAGTTTTGGCTGAATTATTTTATCTTCTGGGTCCGCATAGTGGTAGGTTGTATAAAAACAGCATGTAACTTGAGGTTTTACCTTTAGGTTTTATAAGGTTTACAGTCTGAGTCTTTTTTGCCCTCGCACGTCAGTTGATCGATGGGTACATCCGGAGCCGCTGGAACTTGGGCGATGGGGAGCACTCGGTGTACCTCAACCAGTACGCAGTGGATGATGGGTCCTGGCACTCTGTCCACCTGGAGCGTTACGACTTCTACGTGACAGTGCGCATCGACGGCGGGGGTGGGGTGCGCCAGGCGGAGAACAGGGACAGCACCTTCAGCACACTGGAGGTGGACCCTAACAGCGTGCTGGTGGGGGCGTTTGTGGTCCGCGTGGTGGAGATCTCGCAGGACTTTCAAGGTGAGTCTGACGTCCCGTGGTTTTTGTCCGGGCTTACCATGGGAAATTTGCGCTAACAATCAGCTTGGCAAAGTTTCAAAAAGCTGCTCTGCGGGAAAGATTCTCAGCGGCATTGAGCTAGATTTATTGTAGAAAAGTGTGTGCTCATGGCTAGGGTGTTTCACTTGAACTGGGTTACGTACATGCAGATTACTCTTAGAAGAGGAGGCCGTACCCAGGGGTTCATGGGATGGCACAAAACTTGTTGGGTAGAGCTGCAAACATGGAATAGTAATCACACATACACAATTCTGCTGTCACCATGGAGTTATATTTAATTACGAGATTGCAAACTTCTCATCCTCCTCGTGGAGAAAATTTGATGCCATCCTGGGTGCAGACATTTTGAATCCATTGTTGGAAACCTGGCACATCGTCGGTGGGATGGTAAGTGGAGATGGACCCTGAGTTGCTAGGCAGTTCCCAGGGAAAACAATTGAGTCTGTAATCATCAGCATGCTTACAAAAGCCCGACTACTTCAATTGAATGACCCCTGTAACCTGGAGAATTCCGGGCTTTTCAAGTTTAATATGACCCTATCATAGATGATTGCAAAAGTCACCTACAGGTATGCATCAGACAAAGATGCAGTGTGCTGATCCTAAAAGAAAAGAAGAAGAAAAACTGAAGCTAGTGATATCGATTTCCCCAGGCTGCATGAATGATCCGCGGATCAATAATTTCTACCTGGGCTTCAAGGAGGACTCCACGTATGCCACCCCTCAGCCCTCTAGCACGGTGACTGAAGGCTGTCCCAGCTATGACCCCTGTGCCAGTAACCCTTGCCCTGCGCCCTTCATCTGCGTCGACCTGTGGAGGAAGTACGAATGCCAGTAAGTGTCATCGTACTCTTAACCAGTTGTATGGAATTTCTGAGAGGGCATTAGGAGTTCGCACTCGTTCTTTAAATCACAGGGGCACAGAAAGCAAATGAATTGTGGCTTGTATATAGGCTATGTACATTTCAAGATTTCAAATGGGGAGTGCAGGGGGGCATGGACCTCTGCTAGGGAGGCATGTGCCTCTCATCACTCCCTGTAGTCAGAGGCTGTGGCTGCATTGTAGCTACACTTCCATTACTTAAGGCCTACACTTGTTGACACTTTTGGAGAAATTGTGGGAAGGGTTTATATTATTAAAAAAGATACTCATCAGAATGGCAGTACTTGCAAAATGTTATTTGTAATTTTTTTGAGTGTCGCTTGAATTGATTTGCCAAGTACTGAATTGTTCTACTCTCCCCCCCCCCAAAAAAAAACAGGTGCAAGCCTGGCTTTTATGAAGAAAATGGCCAGTGCATAAACATTGACGCCTGCGTGCCTAACCCTTGCCTTAACGGCGGCACGTGCACGGATCTGGACGTGGGGTACAGATGCGACTGCACAGAGGACTACTTGGGAGAGAATTGTGGAACGAGAAGGGAACGTGTAGCTTCGCCGCTCGGCTTCGGCATCGGGGCCATCCTTGCCCTGCTGCTGTGTCTGCTCATCATCATCTGTAAGTCGATGGCTCACACCGTGAGGCACGATGCGGTAGTGGGTTGTTTGTGTGTGATTGAAGTTCCCAACAACAAATTATTTTTATCGTAAGGGGACTTGGAATGGAAGAGAAAGAGGAGAGCAGTTTCAGAAATGTAACAGATGACAACTCTTCAGCCTCAGTGGCTGATGTAGAGGAAAATTTTTGGAACCTCATAGAGTGTCCCTCTCTTTGGGACCCTTCTGAATCCATTGGAAGGTTTTTTGGAAGATTTTGGAGTGAGAGGGCAGATTTTGCAAGGGGTCTGACAACTCATGAAGGTTTAAATATTAAACAAGAATAGGCTAGGGGGCTCTTTACTCAGTGGTGGATTTTGGACGATTCAGGATTGCTCCATTCAAAAATGCCAAGGTAGTTGGTATTTAGTGCACAAACCCTGGGTTGCCCAATCCTCAGTGACATTCACTGCGTGGAAGAATTCGAAATAGTTTTCATCAGTCACACTGTTTTGTGGGATGTTGTGTAAGGATTTGACGGCTGAACTTCATTGCCGCCTGTCGTTTCTCTTCTCCCCCGTCAGTGTTGCTGCTGGCATTCGTCTTCTACAAACGCGACCGGGACCGCAAGCAGGCCTTGGCCTTCGCCATCGACCCCGAGGATGACATCCGGGAGAACTTCATCAACTACGATGAGGAGTGCGGAGAGGAAGACCAAGATTCCTACGACGTCAGCACCTTGCGCAAGCCAGTCGTGCCGGTGCCCATGGACGATTACGTCAAGCCACCAACCACCGAAGCTCCGCTTAGCCGGGCACCAAGACTCCCTGGTAAGGGCACAAGACCTGGCTATAGTTAGAAGGTCTATGTAATGCAATTTTCTTTTACTTTATGCCTTACAGGTGCACCAGTATGTATCGATTCACCTTATTTTCCATTTTGGCGTGATTATTTTGATTGGTTAATATTGCTGATTACTGATTATTTCCTAAAGTTGGATGATATCCTGTGAGGAAATTTGTGAATGAGTACCCTTTCCTTTATTCTTCGTGGTATTTAAATGGTCAACAGTCACAACAGTCAATCTTTTGTTGCTGTGAACAAAACTCACAAGTTTTTTGGAGTTTTCAGATTTTCATCAGTTTTCAGAATTTCAAGATTTGAAAAGTATCCATAGACAGAAAACACACTGACGCATAGACTTGTTTGCAATTTCTCCTGATTTTGAGTTTATCTTTGAATCATCTCTGTGGCAGGGGATGATCCTAATGTTGGCGATTTCATCAACGACCGTCTGAAGGATGCCAACGACGACCCCGACGCCTACCCCAACGACTCCCTCAAGGAGTATGACTTTGAGGGTGAGGGGTCCTCGGCCGGCACCCTGAGCTCCCTCAACAGCAGCAGTACGGACGGCGACCAGAACTACGACTACCTCAACGACTGGGGGCCTCCCTTCAAGAAGCTGGCCGACATGTACGGTGGTGGGGAGGATGATTAAACAAAAAAATGGCTCGAGGACGGACTGTGGTTGACCGGTGATGTTTGAAATCTGGGGGCTTCCCTGCGGTGAGAAACATAGCTTGATCGCCGATGGCCTTTGTGTTTCTTTTGGAAATTGAGGAAGAGATAATAAATTTAGGATAAAACCTGGCAGTCGTTGAAATAGAGCTTGTCGATATATTTGCGATTGCTAAAATACAAGATTGTTTGCATCAGTTACGTCAGCAAAGAATGTAGGTACTCGGTAATTGCAGAAAGTGATTGTATAAAGCTGTTGATTTTTGTACCAAAAATTATTTTTTTTTTTAGATTTTAGGCATTAAAATGCACATGCAGCTTTAAATTAGACTTGTTGCTCATTCTGTTGAATTTTTTACAAGTAATAATTCCATATGTAAATTTGGCAAATTTGATTTTGTTCGCACACAATACTCCAAGAGTGATCCCTGATGACGCTTAACGTTAACCAAAATCTAAACAAAAGTGATTCGCGAACTTTAATGAAAAAAATAGTCATTAGGTGTGTCTCTTAGATAAAAATAAAAATCAAATAACGGCTTTAATAGTCACTTTAAAGTTCGTGTAGTTTAATCAGTAGGGTGAGTGAACCAACCAGGAAAGATTGATGCAGTGGTTTTTTTTTTTAAACATCAACAAGATTACCAGATCAAGCTGTTTCTTTGTACATACGTTGGATTGTCTTGTAGCCTGTTCAGGAGCTTCTCTGGCTAGGCTTTTCAAGGAAATTTTTGCTGTTCAGGCAAGTGCCAAAATTACCTTTCAGTTTGGCAAGTTTGACTGGAAAAAGTGCGGTGTTGGTACACTTTAAGAGGACCGACCTTCCTTGTCACGAGCGACTGAATAACGGACAATTTTCAGTTGACTGCGTGGGGTGTTCCCTTTGTACATTAAAAAGAGTCTGGCTTTCAAATTAAGAGATGCGGTGTCATGTGAGGGAGCTAAGACAGCAGATTACGCGATCTTAGGTGAGCGTTGATGCAGTAGCTGGTTGAGGCACAGATGTGTCAGCTGATCAGTAACGAGGAGCCTTTTTTGTTTCGAGTTTTTTCCAGTTCATTCTGTTTCTGAGTGTAATTGCATCGGCGATTTTGATGTTAAGGGCGACACGGGGGAGGGGGGATATTTGTATGTTTGTTTGTAAAGAAGGAAAAAGTGCTACCAATCTGTTATTTTTGTAGAATTACAATGTGGTTTAGGTTTAAATAATCATTTCAGTACTTTGTCGGAATCACATATTTGCAAGTGGTGAGTACTCCATTTTTCTTTCTTTTTAGATCCCTGTCATTTATAGCGGGAGGAAAAATGAAGTTTGTAGCACTTGCTGGCAAAATTGTTTGATAGTGGTGCTTGTGTCTGTATGCCTTCACTATATAAATAACCTCAATTTTTGTCTTGTTTATCCAGTGTTCAATCTCATGAGTATGTGCCTGCATCCTAAAATTAGAGAACAAGGTTGTCTTTGTCAAGGTTGTCTTTGCCATCACAGAGAATCGTGTTTTGAGGCTTTCATATTTACTGGTAATTGAAACTTGCCCTGTAATGTTATTTGCGCGTCTCATTCCAGAAAATAGTTTCTGAATTCTGTTTATTTGTAGTTGAGTCTTGTAAATATACTTTTTGGTCAGCTTATGTCTTCTGTTTTGTTAGGTCCATGAAAAAATTGAACAAAAATATTTGATTGTTATTTATTCAGATTTCGATGCAACTTAAGAGAAGTGCAGATATAGCTCCGTGAATGGACCAAAAAAAATTCACTCTGAAATGCAGGTGTAGCATGCAATTGTGAACTCCACAAAAAGGGGTCTTGGTGTATACTGCACATGCTCAGTTCACCAAGATGATAAAGCCTGTAGTAAAAAAGTTCTTTCACAACAAGCTGTTTTTTCCACAGTGCTTTTTTGTATACCGTGATAGCGTTCTGTTGTAACATGGCTCATATGCGTCAACATTCATGAAAGTTGCAGTTTCGATTGAAATCGATTGCTTCTTTGCCGAAAATTAAGTTAACACCCCTGTGCTGCACTTCTATTATACTTCATATAATCATTAGTAATTGGATGTCAAGTGTAAGCTTTCAATGTGTATGTATCATTGTAGCTCGCGAATGCGTACTGATGTCGATTGATTCATTTTCATTGGTTTTTTTTTTTTGGAAGACCTTGGAGTCTCCGAGTAGTTTTATTTTCAGGTAGGTTTCTTAAACGAAATCACTCTGCCTTTTAGAAAATGTTTTTTAGGCTGTAAAATTCATGGTATGCGGTCAACGGCGTTTGTAGTTCAAGTAAATCTAAGTTGCAATATTTAAGTTAATCTTAGTGAGCACGGAACTAAATCTTGTTAATTTTTTTTGCACGCGTTGTTGACAATTATGCAAGCAAAACTAAACGTAGAAGAGATGTGTGTTATGTGGATTCATGTACATGTATGTAGTATCCTTTCTTTTTGTTGTGTTTGAAATATTTGTGTTTGTTCCTGGAACACGGTAGTATTCATAATTATTTTGTAGATTTCTATTTTACTTTTTTTTTTCAACTGATGCTGTATGCCCCGTCCTTCATATGCGAGTGAATGAAGAACATGATGCTGTATAATAGAGATGTTAAGAAGATATTGACAGTTTGAAAGCAAATTTAATTAGCTTGTGAGTTCAAGTACTGTTATTTCTGAGTGTTTCATGGTATTAGGGAAAGCCGGTTATTACCGACCAGACTTGTGCCTACTATCGCGCAGTACCTAAGGTAGTTCATTGACTAAAACATACTAGTTCAAAGCTGTACAGTTGAAGGATTTTAATGATAAGATATTGTTTTTACAGAGCTCCAGAGAAATAAAAAGTGCTCGGTTTCATAGCGTTGCTCAGCAGCGAATTATTGATATACGCCTTTGTCTGTTTCATGGAGATCGTCACGTGGTAACATGCCTTCAACCCGAGAGGAAAGTTAAGTCATCGGGGTAGCATCTGTAGGCACAGGCACAGCTGAAACGTCCCTGCTGTTAAGCAGTACTATGAAATTGAGCAACTTAAATATGTCACTATTTTAATTACGGCTTATACACCAAATTATGACAATCAAGGTTTTAACAGACAAGGGTGCCTCACAAGAGGGGATATTTGATAAAGCATCCCTTAGAGTGTTTAGTCATTTTGGCATTGCTTTCAGTTAAATCCAAGGTGAACAATTTTTTTTATGCCAAAGCGATTGTAATGGTTAGAAGAGAGAGCAGGCGAAATGCAGCATTTAGGGCTTATGAATTCCAGCTTTGGATTTTTATACTCCAAGAAATATACGCAAGCTGTAGTCCCATTTTTATCTCCACGGCGGTTTGATTTATTATGGAAATAAAAAAATTCCAATTGAATGGTTGCTTCCTGATGCTTGTTTCTTGTTTCGTTGTTACCGTGTGCGCGATCATCCGTCGGCCTATGCTTTATTTGAAGGCATTTACCATGCATGCACATACAGTAGCCGAGCTGTGTGTGTCGTGGACTGTGCGCGCCGCCGCAATAGGAGCTTTCCAAAACGGGCTCCAGGGCTATGGTACGGCTAGGTCTATTGTCCACGCGTCTCAACATATTTCCGATGGAGCAAAGACCTAGACCTAGCTCTAGACAACAGATTCGGATGCAGCCAAAGTTTGTTTCCAATGGTTTATCTGAATTATTCAATATGCTAATGTTATGAATTATTCACATTTCTCTGAACCAATCGTGTTTTGGGGCTAAGTAGTAATTTTTCTGTTTCTATAATTTAAAATTGATACTAGCAAATATTTTTCAACGCCCTTTTTCCAAGTTCGAGGTGTTAAGAAGAAAATGAACGAAAAAACATTACAAATTCTAAAATCTTTGCACATTATTTTTCCTGTCCAAGGGTTCCGGAAGTGCGCCATCGATGGTCAACTTTCAGGTTCTATTCTGGAAGAGATTGTCGTCTAGATGGCCGTTTTCTAATACTCGACTTGGGCTCCGTCTCAACTTTTTTGTTACTTCCTGACTTTGAGGTTGTAAGCATAATAATAAGTCTGATAGTAACACAAAACATCAAATAAGATGCAAATTGGCAAAACATTAGAGTAGTTCAATATAAGTTAAACGCTTCAGGCCCACAATCCGGGATAGGTTTCCTACACGCAGCCTGAGACGGAGACGAAGTTGAGTATTGGAAAACGGCCTAGAGCTTACACCACTGCCGGAAAGGACGCCATTGTAATGATGAATAATTTATTACATGCTCGACAGAGGCGATCATTTAGATTGGTGGAGACTTATGCATACACATGTATCGTATCTGCTACCGAAACGGTAGCAAATGTAAAGAAAAACATAAACTACGTGGGGCAGAACTCCAAAGGCTTGCGGGGCGTGCGTGCAGTTCGTCGTGTAGTCTTTTTTCGTGCGTTGGTTTGGTGCTGAAACTAGTCTCCTCCAGCTCCTCGCTCTGAATTGAGCGACTATCCATTTCGCTGCGGGTGCCTTGATCAAAGGCTATATTTCAAACAGTGTCTTCAGTGTGGGGAATTCAAATGTTATGTTTATGTGCAATCAGATAACTGAGTGTACCAGGTTTTATTCATATTTTACTCGCAAAAGGCTTACTTTGTTGTCGCCACATAATTCTGAAGGGCACCGAACAGAGCTATAATGATCTCAAAGGGGGTCTATCTCACGCTTCAGTTTTTTCAAGCTTCAAGTAAATTATAAATGTACTAGCTTGGTGCTCATTTTGGACAGGGCAAAAATCAACGGGTGTTTCCTAAGATGGCCGACTAGTCCTGCAGCGCAGATTGACGTGTTGTTCCACTTTTGAAGCTAACCCCCCCTAACAAAAAGGCAGTTGGTTTACTTTTACCATAGTGGTAAGGGTGGGGTGTTTTTATACCTGTTTAAATGAAAAATAAAGTTCCAATCTGTTTACAGATTTTCCTAAATGTTTAAATGGAACTGTCCCTTTTAGAGGTTTCACGTTTTGATTGATCAATCTGGCGTTATTTTTTGTATGCATTGCGAGATGAATGACGTCCAGGTCGGAGGGCGCACTTTATGCGTTCAAAAGTGCTAGTGGTGGTAACGGCTGTGACGTCACATTCATGTTCTCATCTTGTGCTAGCGTGCGCGCGCACTTTCTCCAGTGTTTGTGTTGTTGGCTTCGTGCATGTTTTGGGTGAATCCACGATGGTTTTGACTGTTTTGGTTTGCGCTTCTCGAAGTGAACAGGAACCCTTGTTTTTAAATACTGTGCTGACGCAATCGAGGCTGGAGATATGCAAGAAAGTGGGCCTAGGTCGAAGATCCTGAAATAAGGGTGCGAAAAAAGTGACATGGAGAGTGACAACTCGGAAACAGTTCCCAAAGGTAAAAACACTTTGGCTAATACTGAAACTTTTGTACACAGATTCCATGCAAAAAGGTTTGACTTTCGAGTAGTCTCGACTCAAAACTTATAGCCTACTCACATCTTTATCCACGTCTGTTGAACATACCTCAAGCATTTGTCATTCACCGCTACTGTTAACTTTTATAATTCTATGCATTTGATAAGGGGAAGTTCCGACTGAGGCCGAGTTTGCTCGGTTGCTATGCGACAAGATTTTCGTCGACTACTTCAACACTTTCCTTTCGCTCCCGGTAAGTGGATGCTCAAGACCACACTAACAGTTGTCGGACTTTTTAAAGTATAGCTTTCCCTTCTACAAAACGGATCATGCCACAAAGAGCGTATTCTTCTGCGCATCCCTTAAAAAACTGTTTGAAGTTAATTTCAACACCACTTCTCGATCATTTCAGCTTTACGAGAGACAATAAACGAGACGGTTAAGCGGACAGCGAAGTCGACCTTAAATAGTCATACTTTTTAGTAGTTACAGTTTGTGTTTACTGCTTCATGAATAACCCTCTGCCAAAATCGCAGGTGTTCTCTCAGCGCTTGCTGTACCGTTTCACAGAGCAGACGTTTGAATTAGACCCACCTATCAAACGAACTCAGTATGTAAGTAAGGCAGATGTAACCTTGTAGTGACGATTCGGTCAATTCCTATTAAAAAGTGACTCTTGATGGTCAGGTATTTTGTTGAGCAAAATTCACAATGGGCGACTGTTTTTGGATAAAGTACTTGAGCTTGACAAAGAATAAGGTGACAATGAGGATGATCAGACAATTGGTGCGCTACCCTGAAGAGGGATTTTAACCATCAGGTTAATTTTTAAACATGAAAACAAAACATGACAGAACGAAATAAACATGCCAAAAAATTTCCCTTTGTAAAATTATCGAGGCTTGAATTGACGACTAACTGGTTTATGGAAACGTTGAAATCAACTATGATCAACTTGTCAGACCCAGTCACGTGTGATCTCTATTTTCAGCGTCTCGATCGCCTCAAGTTGATGCGATGGGTTCGCACCCAGCGTGCCCCGCTGTTCTTCAAGACCGATCTATGCGTCGAATATCTGCTATGCAAACAGCTGCAGAAGACCCAGTTGCATCTGTCCTGCCCCTATGGATCAGATCAGTCCAGTAAGGTTCTCCAAGGTTTACATTACACAACCCAATCCCTCAGTTTTATTCAATTTTGATCGCAAGCGTGCCACCTGCAGGCTTAACAGCTACAACAGCAACTTTATTAGTCCTTTAATTATGCGCTTATTTGTGATTGGAGGAGTTACATTTTGGCCAATCATTCGTTGTACAAGGAAAGGGCATGCAACAAATTACAAGATAATTATCTGTCTGTACAGGCATTGGAGTAAATTGGAAATAGTATCAATGTTTAAATTGGATTTAGTTATTCAAGGAGGAAGTACGACAGGCAAAGTGGTATAGGCTTAGTTAGAGATTTATGTTTAAAAAACTGCATCAAGGCGCCAAAGACAGGATGTTAGATCGCCGCCTGATGTCCCGTTGGCTGAGCCGGGTCTCGGGGATGCGCAAGTTCCGCGCCTTCCTGGAGCGGACAGCGGGCGAGAAGGCGCTCCAGTTCTGGTTGGACGCTGAGCGGTTCCGCAAGACCACCCACTGCCCGGATGAGCACAGGGCGTTGTTCCGGCAGATGGAAGCCAAGTACATCAAGCACGGAGGGATGCTCGAGTTACCGGAACATGCCAAATGGTTGGCCTCTGTGAGATCAGGTCAGTTATGAACTGCAACAGGGCGAGGGCGGATCCAAAATCACATTTAACGTGTGAGGGTGTTTTTGAAGGGCGCCAAAGTTTGAATGTTTATGTAACTTGCAATGGCCTTTGTTAGGGTTAAGGCTTCATTGGCACATTGTCCATGCTTGTAGGAGGGAGGGACAGGAAATACACGAAAAATTTGCCTTTCTGTCATTATTAAAAAGAAATCTGTTTGCACCCTTTTTTTGGGTCCACAAAACTCTCGCAACTGAGCGTTCACTCGTGCTGGCAACATCAGCAAAGTCTTGCCCCGAACGTATACGGATTTGTATTCATTTATGAATGAAGTTTGTCAAGTACAAATGATAATAAAAAATGTCGGCTATACAATTTTCCTGTTCAGAAGGTCAAGATAAATGTCGTTCTCCAGCGGAAGTGAGGGGAGCACGGGCTCGAGAACGGCGCCAGAGTCATTTTATCGGCAGCGGAGTGGAGGTGGAATCTCGCCTGCCTGGGGGCTCCATCTACGGGGACAGCCACGAGTGGCTCATTTCTCCAGACGCTTTTGTTGTCATCCAGGGTTTCTTCCTCAAGACGCTGCAGAACTACTGGGTGCCCCGCTATATCATCCACTGCAAGGCCAAGTGGTTCATTCAACGGCCGTTGGTTCGCGGTGAGGTTCCCGTCTTTAGACCCAACAGTTACGCGGTGAAGGTCCGCAGTCTGTCTGACCTGGCAGATGAGGACGAGGAAGCACTGATGGGAGAAGGTGTCGTGAAGTCCAAACAGGTGGTTCGGGTCGAGTCAAGATTAAAAAAGCAGAGCGCCTTCAACCTGTTGTCAATGTTCAGCTCGCCAGGTGTGCGGCGCTCTGAGCTGGCAGCCATCTTAAAGCTCGAGGACACTGGAGAGACGTTGGGAGTTAAACCTGAGGCCGACCAGTCTGTGGAAGCCAAGGAGAGATGGAGGACAGAGGACTTCCCGCTTCCGACCATATCGGAGGAAAGTGGAATGAGCGAAGAGAGCAGAAAGTCATCTGCCAAATCGAAATCAAGTTCTTCGGCAGGCTTTGCAACACCGTCACCTTGTCCTGTATCCCCCGAGCAAACTAGATCAGCGACTGCAAGCCCAGAGAAGTCGCCAGCTAGAGTGGACTCGAAAACAACTGGTGCAGAGATGGGCAAGTCTTACAAATTACTTTGTGTAAAACAACAAAGTAAACTTTATATATTTACAATGAACTGAGTTTGGGATCTTACTTAATCAGTCGATTTCATTTGATTTCTGAAATACTTACCACATCACCAGATGGCGAGAAGGACGAAATCCGAAAGGAACTTCGGTTCGAAGAACCGTCTGAGGCTTCCCAGTTTGCCCAGGACGTAGAAGAAAAAACCACTCCATCTTCTGCCAAGAGGCGACGAAGCAGCGATGTAACCAGTCTGTCAACTGTCGACACCGACAAGCTTCTCTCACGATTCCCGCCAAGTGGAGTGAGCCGGATGCGCCGTAGCAGCGTGGCTGTGCCGTACCAGATCAACCGGGAATCCAGCTCCTCGTCGGTTGGGAGGAGCTCCGTATCTGGAGACTCCATCCATACGCCGTCCCTGCGTAGGATGTCCCTCCAGTCGGGCACGGGCCTCGATCCGTCTTCCAGCAGCCTAGCAACTTCCCGAGGGAGCGCACCGGCCGCGCCAAAAAAGCCGAAACCGCCTCGCAGGGCCAGGGCTATGTCCATGGAATTCCGGCTGGCGGATTTCTCGATGATGCTCAAATCCCTAGATACCAACGCTGGTGCAGCTGCCACCGGCGGCGACATATCTGAACTGGACAAAATCACTTCCATCGGACTCCCACAGCTCGAAGCCGACATTCAAGCTCTGCAGACTCAGAAGGAGCAGGACGAGCGCAGGAAAGCAGAAAAGGCGAGCAAGAAACACCGCAGGAGAGGTTCGGAGGTACAGGATGGCGAGTTAGCCCAAGGAGGTAAAATCGGTAAGAAGGGACTCAAGAACGGCAAAGGACTGGACGCCTTTGGGAAGGCTTACCTCCGGCGTGGCCGTAGAGGCTCTACCGCCTTTCAGCCTTCTGGGAAGCAACTGGCGCAACTCACTAGAGCAAACCTGGCGATGCTGGAGGCTGTGCACCGTGGAAAATGGATACCCCCAAGCTTTAGCATTCGCAGACGCACGGCGACTCGTGAAGGCAGAAAGCCAGGCTTTGGGCAGCAGCTAGGCAAATACGGCCTCCGCAAGGAGGACGTCGAGAAGACCCCAGAGCTGACCAAAGATTACAGCACACTGACGTTTCAGGAGAAGCTGGACCAAGACTCGCGCAAGCTTGCGAGGGTTCCTCGGCTGTCGCCTTCTCAGATGCTCAGTTCGAGTGTTGCAGACATGGGAATGCTCGCCGAATTCACAAGGGATAGCACATTCTCCATAGGACCCAAACTTCCAGACATCAATGCAGAGATCCATCTTAAACAGCCAGCGGCCATGAGCATCTGCAAGCCCTCATATCGAGGCTACGGCCTAGGTGAGGTCAACTTCCGCCAGAAACACCGCCTCTTGATTGGTGCAATCTCAGCCGACAAATTGGCGGGAAATCCTTTCTACAATTTCCTCCATGAGCACTGTCTGGAAGCCGACTTAAATTACCTGAAATTCTGGCAGGCTGCACAGGAATATCTCACGACCGGCACGTACAGCAGCGACATCGAAGGCAGTCTGTCCCGCCACCGTCTCGCACGGCAAATCAAGGCTACCTTTCTGACTCAGACCGGGGAGTGCCATGTCTCTTTGGGAGATCGCTTAGCTGTTGAATTGTGCGGACAACTGCCACAAGACACGGCAGATGAGCTGGTTGTGCACGCTCAAAACCTAGCATGCGAAGCTCTCCAAGAAAGTTTGACCAGTTTTCAAAGACACGATCTGGAAGAATTCCTATCAAAAACGGTAACCATAATTATTACACTGTCAATACTACAGGAAAACATATAAAACTGAAAATATCAATAGAACAGAAAATGGAACTGCAGAATTCACAGAGTCGTATTCTATTCTAGTCATTTTTTTGTAAAATTTTTCTCTGAAACCTTTCTGAATCTTCCAAAATCAACTACCGCAAAGAAATCGAATGACTTATTCTATGCAACTAATTGCCCCTAGATCCTTCAAAACATTGAGTTTGAAGGATCGGGCTTTTCCATCAAGAACAGAAAGAGAATGCCTCATAAATAAAGGTTTCAACATTGTAGCTTTTATGGGCCATTGTGATTTTTTTGGCAAGACATCTCGGAAGAACTTTCAGCTGGATGCGTACTCCAGACCAAAGACTCGCCCGGCGGCCTTCCCGGAGCAACTTCCTCAGAGGGGTGTGAGCACGGACCTACTCCCTTCGGTGGAAACCTCTAGCCATGCTATCTACCAGCTTATGAAGACAGCCAGGGAGAGCGCAGCCGCTGAGGAGGAGGACAAGCGAGCGACTGACAAGGCCTTTGAAGCGGGGACGGTTAGCGCACTTGCTCCGTACCGAATGTGGAGAGCGCTGCAGCTAGCAGAAAGTGCAACGAGGGCTGGTGAGTTTGTCAGAGACTGTTGGACATCCAAAATTTGATACTGAAAAAATTGAACCCTAATCCTAATAAAAAAACCCTACTTTGTACGAAGCCATTGGCACTCTCTCCGTCTGAAATAATTGTGTCTCGACTTTATTGTTGGATTTCTGCAATGTCACCTTTTGGATTTTGGAAATCATGGAAAGTTTGGACTTGTCAATTTGGTTTAATTAAAGTCCAACCAAGTTGTAGGTGCCATTAAGAAAAATAGTTGATAAGGTGTGAAGAGTTACATGTCATATTTCTAGGATTTAAAGACATGTTATTATTTTTCTCACTAAGTTGCCGAGCCAGTTGTAGTAAGCGATCCCAGCGACCCAGATAGTGACAGTGAAGATGAGGGGAGTCTCAGGCGAAAACTTACCACCGTCTTCCGTAAACGTAAGGCAGTGTCACATTCACCTGAGTCTGATTAGCCAGCAACAGTTCTGTCCATTATATTGTTGCATCTCTTTGAAATGTAAATATCGCTGAGCTTAACGCAATGACATTTTAAGACTGATCAGGGATTTAACAGGAATGAATAAATATGTATCTGAAATATTCAAAATTTGTACTCAGAATTACAGCAATTCAACTGGATTCTTGATCGGGATAGGTTGACTCCGAAGGAGGCAGGATAAGGATAACTCCAACTCAATTTCTGTCGAGCTGAAACATTGCATGCTTAAAGGTACGATTTCAATTTGAAGGCAAACCGAAGCCAGCAAAAGACATGGGCCCAAGACCTTCCTTCGGCCCGTCAAGCCAGCGTGCCTTGGGCATACATCGCACCGTCCAGGCCAGGGCAAGCAGGCACACACCGGACGAGGAAGCAATGGGCACAGGCAAGGCAGTGTGCAGGGCCATCCGGAAAGACGGCAAGACTATCCACAGACCTCCAAGACCAAAGTAAATCATTTTTGTCTGAAAGTCATGTTTCACCGAAGGATTGTGATTAAAATGAAACCACTCCCTCAATTAAATCTCAGAATTATCTAGAAATGTTTGTTTTAACTTGGAATATGATATCCTGATTTCAAACGACACTTTTGAAAGGAAAATGTAACAAGATCTTAAAAAGTATAATTGGTCTCTATGCATATGCCGGCAATAAAGATTGATACAACACTACCATTGACAAATAATTTTGATATTTTTACTAAACAAAATAGAATTAATTTGCGCTCACTTTGGCGATTTTTTTCACAATGTTAAGTGATTTCCTACTGAATCTTTAAATATCTTTGAATTTGTGACAGTTTCTTACAAAATAAATTTAGTCACAACGGTTATGTTAAACTGTTGGCACTGATCTTCCCGCTTTTTCTCCACAGAGTCTTCCAAGACGTTCTCCGAGACAGCAGCCATCAGGAATTCCTGAAGCGATTCCTGGCCCAGCGAAAGTCAGATCTTCCCTTGCAGTTCTGGCAGGCCGTGGAGAACATGAAGACGTCGTGCAGAGACGCCAAGAGCAGGCAGTCCAAAACGATCATGATCGTGCGCAAGTTCTTCTGCAAGGCTACAGACTTTGGTAAATTTTAACAGCGAGAGATTGCAAATAACACAGTGCAACGTGCACCTGCAAGCTCCACCAAATGTACACCACAAACATCTGCCTGTATCTGTTTTGGTATCTTCCTCCAGGTTACGCTTTGCAATGCGATGCCGAAATCATCCAAGACATTCCCCATTTGGAGAAGGTGACGCCTCAAATGCTCCTGTCGGCCCAGGCCTGTGTGGCTAGGAGTATGGAAGAAAAGTGGTACTTTTTCCTTCCCCGATATCCTTGACGGATGTTTTGCCTCTGTTTAGTCTTTGATTGTACTTTTTCACCGCGTCATTCAGAAGCAAATTGAGAATTTATGCAAAAGTTGGAATCAAGTTGTCATGATTTATAAAGAGTCAACAACAGTATTAAAGTTCTCAGCCTAGAAGAAAGCTATTCCTTAACCTCACCAAAGTAGTTCCTTTTTTCCGTTCATCCCTTGTTACTCCGAGTTGTATTTGACCAGCCATGTGATTGGCTAACTCTGATCAAAGTGCAGATGTGTTCAACCGAATCCCCGCCTTAGGAAATTCAAAACGGGACCTCTTAAGGCTTGTCATCTCGAATAGACAACCAGATGTCCCCAACCATCATGGACTAACATGCATTTAATAATCGAAAGGTTGTTCTGTGTTTTCCTACATAAACTTCTTGATCAAACTTGCTGCATTACTTTACATTTTTTGAGTGAAGGTTTGAGCAGTACCAAGAAACCTTCCCGGATGAGACTTCGGATGAGGAAAGCGAAGAAGGCAGTGCCACTGAAGACGAAAAACTTGCCCCAAGGGATAAAAATGTGAGCAAGAATCAATGACAGCGGTCAGTGGAAAGTGATCGAGGTTTTGTCTTTGATCTAAAGTTGCGTCGTATTAAACTTGGATGATCTATCTTTGGAAACGCAACAACATCATGTCTCCACAAATTGGCAACACCATCAAATCAGAGAAAGTCCGACAGCTACAAGAACTATACATTGACCCATACTAGCCTAAAACTAGGTTGTTATGAAAACGTACCTATCTGATCAGTCTATCAGTGTGGTTGTCACATACTGAGTTAGTTCTGCAACCTGTCGCTATTTTACTGGTTCAATTTCATCCCACAGAAAGCCCTGTGGGCAATGTTTATCAACAATGTGACATCATTCCGACGAGGCCTGATGAATAGGGCTACCATGATCGCCTTCAAAGTGTTCTTTGAGAAGGAGGTCCAGCGAGAGTTGGAAAGTAAGAGGAGCTGACATTTTTCCATGGACTTAAAATTTGACAAAAGAAATTTCACCAACGCGGTATACGAGCTTGCCCCTTACAAATAGTGACCATTGATCTGTCATCTGCTTTGGAAATTGATACTACTAAACATGAGCCTCGAAACTCGTACTTGGGCAAGAAATCGTGCACAAAGACAAAGTAGGTATAACCTGGAAACTTTCTCTGTACATTCATGTAATCACTTCAAAGTAAACCTTTCATAGAAACTGTGGCTGGCGCCGAGAGGGATCCTTAAGAGGACACGATTATGGGTTTGTGTGTGTGCACATGGTTTTAGGAGACATATGATGCAGCATCCATGCCCCTATATATTTCATATGAATGGGCACAAAAACCATGGTTTTTCACATGAGATGCATTCTCTCCCGGAGGTGGTGCATGGTGCCAGTGGCGCTAAAATGCCTTTCAATTACGCTATTATTTTGTTTTACCAGTCCATTTATTACTACGGAGGGTCTTTAGCCCATTGTAATCTGCACCATCAATGCCTGTGTCTTTGTTGTTGTTGTTGTTTCGGCTCAACAGAACAGAAGCAGACTGGGGTTCAGAGCAAGCGCATGATCAGCAACAAGGTTATCATCGTTGATAAACTCAAGAATGACCTCAGCTTTTGGGCAGAGGTCGAAAGGTTAGATTGTTAGATCGTTTCGATTATACATTATTTTAGTTATTTTGTTGATTAGATGTTTGACTGTTTTGTGGACAGACGGAGGTATTTGTTGATGATTGCTAAAATGCCTAGCTGCCCCTGAAAGTGTTCAGTTGGCCGGATTGTTGGCTATTACCGCGCTGTAAATACCGGTTTCCATTCCAGATACAAAGAATTGGCTGATTCTGCCGCCCGCGCAGCAGCAACGGGCACGTACACATTGGACGATGAAGAAGACGTGCAGAAAAAGGCGAAAGCGATCATTGATTGTTACATAGACTCGCAGGTGCCGCCAAAACTACAGGTACAGAACTCCATATGCAACATTTTTGCCCAGAGTTTGCCACTGGAAAACAGCCTAACACAGACACCAACCACGGGTGTCATTGTAATGTGCAAGTAGATGTCAAACAGCCGAATAATGCAAGATGTGATGTCTTCTTCGGTAGATGAGTCTCTCATTCTTTCCCGCAGAATTCTCTTCAACTCCCGCTTTCCATTCCCTTTAGAAAATGAACAGAATTTGAACGGTGGTGGCAATTCAGTCATGGATTTAATTATCAAACATAACTAATAAGTGAAAATAAGAAAAAAAAACCAAGTATAGAAATAAACAAATATATATATATATGACAGGTGGAAATACTTATATTCACGTGAAAACAGTTGTTTGGCCAAGTTTGTAAAGTGCAATTCATTCCAAAGTGTCAGTGTCCTGTTCTCCCAATCTATCCTTTGAAATAAATTACTAGATCAACACTTCCCAAGAGATAGCTGATGAGATCATAGAAACGTATGAGAACGGTCTGATTGAGAGAGGCCTCTTTCACGATGCTGCCGTCTCCATCTTCAGCGTTCTGCTCTACTGCTGGAAAAAGTAGGTCCTGGATACCTTTTAGATGTTTCAGAGTTAATTAGACAAGTCTGTCAGTATAGCTATGAAAATAAAGACAATGATGAGGTTGATATGCCAGTTTTGATCTCTTTGACTCCAAGATTCTGCCGTGAGCGGTTTGCCCCACCAAGCAAGAAGCCGAGCCGGGCGGCCTTGTCCTCTCAGCCGCCTATTAAGAAGAAGAAACGAAAGAGGAAGCGACACCCGTCCACGCCCCGTGTGGCTGGCGTCAAGATCAAAACCATAACGGGCACATCTGGTGTGTATACTATCGGTGTACTACTTGCTTAAGTTCTTCTGAAAGTGCACATTCGATTACAAATCAAAATCAAGATTTACATATGGATTTCAGTAGCCCTAAACGGGATAAATCAACATTTGTATGAGGTTTGGAAGATTTGGAAGGCATATAAAGCCTATGAGGAAGACTCAGACCAGCCATTTTTACCCCCTCTTACGAGTTTTACACCAAAGAATGTGCCATTCAGTTCTTGAAGATTTGGGCTGACTCGAAGTTTCTGGCAGTATAATATAATTTAGAAAGGTGAGGTTAAAGCAATGGAAAATTTGACCAGAATCAGATTTGAAACCAGAATATCCGGGCGGTAATTTCGAAACCTAGTTCTGACTATAATACGGTATAACGGCTCTTCTTGGTACCAGTTGACGAGCCACCCAAGATGCAGTTTAACCTACAGACCGGTATCCAGCTTGTCCTGCCCCCCAAGCCTCCCAGCTACGACTCGGAGCGTCTCCGTGCCATGATCCGGCAGCTCTACCCAGAGGGCGGTCAGGACTCCGCCCTCGGTGACGAAAACAAACTGCTGCACCTGTACCAGGTGGCGCAGCAGCTACAAGCCCAACAGCAGCAACAGCAGCAGCACGGCCAGCAAGGCAGCCACGCCCAGAGGCGACTGAGTCGGTCAATTGGACACCATTTGCAGATGGCAGCTAGGCAGCTTTTGCCGGGCGGACATGGTACCTAATGATTGTGTCAGAAAAGTTCAGCGAAAGAGGAGAGCTTTAATTTCAAGACAAGAAACCCAAATTGTAATATGACGAGGCCTCAATTTCCTGGAGCTGCTTTGCAAAAAGTCTATACAACTTAAACTTTCTTGCTGAACACAAAGCAACTTGAAATAAGTCACGAGCAGTACACACCACGCAACAATTTGGCTGGTAACTGTTGCTAAGCAAAACGTATGGCAAAGTTGCGCAATAGCTCAACGAAATTGGTATCTACCCGGACAGATAGCCCTAGCGTGTTTAAGCAATTCATTTTAGAGACAGTTAGTGAAATCTACAAGGCATTTTTAGTAATCACACATTTGAAAATAAAAAACTAGGCAGCGATATGTTTTTATGGATATAGAGGCTCATGTGCAGTTTTTGGCTGGAGTGCGTCGAAACATATTTATGCTAATTCTACTAGGAATTTAAGATAAACTTCCTTGTTCAAAACTTCCCCAGGTGACACGATGCACCTTTATTGCCAAGTCACTGCAGCACAATATACTTGGGCATGTAATGTTTCAATTAGAGTTCCTGGTGATGTTAACTCAAAAACTGACTTTCTAAGTAATACCGTGTTTGGTAATTTCAGTGCTTTGATTATAAATTAAACATTTATTCCAGGATTTCACATAAGCAAGTAAACCTCTAGAAATGACGACACAACAAATTAATTTCTCCCCAAAGGCCACCCCATGCCTGCATGTAAATCAGTGCGATCACCGAGGATGAGAACGGGAATATCATTCATGTTTGAAATAAAATCCATGTTACTGTAGGCCTTTTAGAATCCCAACGTATGGAACAAAACATCACTGACAAACTCTATTTTCTGCTGGCTAAATTGTTTATGGAAATAAAAAACGATGAACTTAAATGACAAACCAAGCTGGGAAGAGCAGGCTACTGCTTAGTTATATTGTATGACTATTGAGAGTTTTGCATTAGAGATATAAACGTCGTTCCAGTATTTTACAAGTGTCCGATTTTTGGTTGTGGAAATAACTGCACACCACCAACTGTGTCTCCCTTCATCAGAACACTGATGACACAACTGGGCATTCACAGCACTGAAAATCAAACCTGAAACTGTTCCGAATAGCAACGATTCGGAGTTTCATGAAAACAGAGATTTGACTATCGTGAGGCAGGAACAGACTGTTCACAAGTCCACATTGCCTCTGTTCATTGTTTTAAGCTTCAATGATTAGACTCAAATTTATACGGTTTCAGAATCTGCTCATTTCATTCATCCAGTTGTCCGCGATTAACACAGTCCTAAATGTTCACGATCCACTTGTACAGACCAGAGATCACACAGCAGACAGATAATGCAGATTATGCAGATGCTCTATCTTTATTTCAGAACAGCATTCATTAGAATTACGTGGACAGTTTTTGGTCTGTCTGTGACTAGAGGATCACTCTGCTCCTTGTTTCCGAGGTTTTGCTTCCTATGAGTGATCGTTTTTGTGGCCTTCACGTGGGGTTTCCCGCTCTCCATATTATTTGTGCAAATGAATATCACTTGTCGCTCAAGCGACTTGAGACCAAGACTAGGCTAAGCACAAAACCGGCTCAGTAGGTCACTGTTAACCACAGAGCCCCAGTTTAAAAAGCAACTCTAAGGAAAACATGTTTTCTGTGATTTTTACCTGTTCAATTAATTGGAAACATCCAAATCGAACGCAATGTCGTTTGTTTTCAGAGCTCAATATAACAAGCTAAAAAGGGCTTTTTTTCCTGTTTATGCCAAGATGCGAATCCTGAACATGCTGAATGTAGATTGCGTCATTCTGAGAAAACACAGAAAACGGGGGAACCCTCGCCGTGTTCGTAGTGGATAAACCCTTGGTCATTGTTTGGCGTGCACAAGAGAATTATCCACTACGAAAGTAAGGTCAGGGTTCCCCTCGTTTTATATGTTTTCTCAGAATGACGTAATCAACATTCTAAATTCGCACTTTGGCATGAACAGGAAAAGCCCTTTTTAGCTTGTTATAGTTGAGCTCTGAAGACAAATGACACTGAGTCCGATTTCTATGCTTCCCTATTTATTTGAACAGATAAATTCAGAGAAAACGTGTTTTCCTTAGAGTTGCTCTTTAAAATTGGCACATACTAATGTTTTCGAACATAATCGGAAAAAATACTGCTCTGATTATAAGAAAACATTTTTTTGTATGGTACACCATGTTTGAGAGCTGAGATTTAAAAAACAAACCCATAAAACACACAGTCTGCATGTACTTACTTTGATTGTCCCAAACACCTGAGCACTTTATCTAAAACAGAATCATCCGACGTTTTTAACCATTCACAGCTTCCAAAATACTAACCTTTAAACAAACAGCTTATGCAATACCAAATCTAAAAGACTGCCCACGTAAATGGCGATAACGATTACATGTAGTCAGTAGAGAACAGGAAAAAACCCGAAGCGCTCTACAATCTGAACTCAAACCTACGGAAAGAATACCTTTTCAAAACTGCATAGCTGGTGATGTTACAAAACATGACTATATTTTGAGTATCATGAAGATTGACATTGCATTTAACATTTTAATTGCATTAAAACACACTTATTGATTAAAAAAATAACTTCAAAATTGAGAGACATAACCTGCATCGGTGGACAAACTATAAAGCATCTGCCAGCTAACACATGCATTCAGCAAAAATAATTTCTGTTTATATGTAATCAAGTAGATTTAAAGATAACGAATATATTAGCTCAGTCAATGTTTAATGAAAAATAAAACTAAATCAAAACAAGTTACACAGAGCGAAGCCTATCTCTAAGAAGTCACCCCTTCCTTTGTACAAGACCAAATCAACTTCAGAAGAACATACAAAACATACATGTATCTAGAGGACGAAACCAGTTTGCTGAAGATATCGACAGGAACATGAAAAAAAAATCCATCAGTTAAATTAAAATGGGTACATGTAGTTCAAACAGCCAGCCATGCAAATGTTAGGCAGGGAGGAAAAATATTCTGACCTTCGAAAAAAGTCACACCTGTAACCACACAGAGAAAAACTCCAGCAACGCGTACGTAACTAATTTTGAAAAAAAAAATTACACAAACAAAAAATAGAACTCATTAGCATCTGTATTAAATTGATTACTATCGATATTACACATTCTGCACCAATTATACAATGACATAAAATAACTAATTTGTCAATAAATATAATTTGCTAAAGCACAACTCTGTACACTCGGGTAAAAAAGAAGCCATAAAAGAGATTATGCCAAGAATATTGGTTAAATGAACAGGTCAGCCTTACCGCTGTATTAGTCGTGTTGACGCTTTGGCTATGGTCCATTACTACATACATTTGGATTAAATCGATGTAATCATGTAACTTCAATGACAAATTTTCTCCACAACAGTGACAGTCGATGGAATTTAAACATTTGAAGAATTACTCTTTAGGGCACATGCATGCTCATGTATAAAGAAGACTTATTAACAAAGCCATGCACTGTATTATTATTAATATTATTATTTTGGTTTCCTTTGGTTAAACTTGATTTTACGGTTCAGAGATGGATAACAAACTTCACTTGACATTTCCCGAATTCTGTAACCTGTCCAGAAAATGACCACTTCGGATCAACTGAAGAAAAAAACCAGTTTACGACAGCGAGTTGATACACTTCCTATTCTTAAAAAAAGCAAACACCTTGGACCAATCAACTTTCTTGCCACCTTTCTGTTTTACCCGGTCACAAATCTTTTCAACACTAACTAGTCCCCACAGTAAATGCTGCCAGCCGAACTGAAAACCCAGGACTGCTAGTTACAACACTCAACCCCTCCCCGCCCAAAAAACCCACACCGTAAAAAGCTAAAAGCCAATACTACAAAACAAAGTGAAGAGAGGAACAAGGTTTTCGGGGTTATAAACTGCCACTATTAACTCACAAATCTTTGGGAACTGACACCGGACACTGAACCCCTTCCATGCACCATCAGTGGGTCTTAACAAAATACGTCATCATGAACTCAAATGCGGCAGATTGTTAATAACTTCACCTTTTTTCCAGCCAATGCCCACCATGGTGATCTATGACATCTTTACTTCTTTCTTTCTTTTAACAAGTTTTCTTTGTATATTCAACAGAGGCCTATATGTACAAATGTTTACATACATTTTAAAAATATGCCATCTATGCATTGTCAGTGATCAAGAATAGTTTTGCAGCAAATGCGTGCTCAGGTTGGTGATAAATATGCTCGTCAACGCTCTGCAGGGACTCAGTCAATCCACAACAATGGTGGGGTTTCATCCAGGTTTCGGCTTTGCAGGGAAAAGAAATTCTTCTTTTTTTCAGCTTATTTAGTCACTTTGTCGGATTAGAAATGCATGGACTTGAACAGAGCAATCAGTAGGACAGAATAAACTTAACTCAAGAATAAACCATGTGTAGCACTCATTAACGGCATATGAAATTGTGCGCCCCATTGAAAAAGGAACACGATTCAACATTTGTGGCTCACAACACAGCATCTTCGTGTCCATGGAATACGTCCATTCGGTATCTAACCAGTAACATTAGCCATTTGATAAAAATATCATTTCCACTTTAAACTGACACTGAGGAAGATTTGCACAAGTACCTTACATACCACAGAGTTGTCTGTCATCCAACTATGGTTCACTCCACAGGTGTATACTTACATTTCATCTTCCAACCTCCTCCCTAAAGAAGTGGACTTTTATAAACTGAGGGAAGAGTCAAACACTGATGACAAATGGAAGACTTCTGTGCAAACAGACCAAAAGGCACATGCTACGAGTTCTTGGACAATGCCTTCCAAAAATATTCGTCTGATTTCAATTTTATTATGAAGCATTTTTGTCTGTTTATCAAACATGAAGGTGCTGTACAAAAAATGGCAGCTGTCGTAGCAAAAACTCAATGATAGCACCTTGTTTATCTTAAGTAGACTAAGATACATAATTACACAACTGGAATGGACTTTAAACTGCTTTGAGAAGTCACATCACTAAATCAACACTATTAAAACCTAGTTTATCAACTACATCACGTTTACACTTAAGTTAACTCCCACGGAAGTTGGTATTTGGCCAGAGTAAACCATATTAAACAAGCCGAATCTAAAACTGCACTTGGTCTAATAACATCGAAGCATTGGTTTAGAAATTTAGTACCCAGGTTTAGCCTTGATCTACTAAGTCAATCAACTGACAATTCAATTTCCTACATGTGCACAATACAACTGCTTTAGTTTATACATCAAGTCTAAATGCTGATTTTCAAAATACATTTAACAAAACCATCAACAAACCAAGGCCCTGATTCCGCCAAATCTCAGCTTTAATCTTCCAAACTGCCACAACAGATTCCACATGTTCATGACAAACTGGGTTCAGAATACCCTTCCAACTAATCTGGTGGCTAGTCACTCATCGCGATGGACATTACATCCGTACAAAAGTGATTTGGCACAAAGTTAATTCCTAGAAAATCTGGACTACGGATCTGTCTAGTTTTGCTCTGATGTGACAAGGTGTGGACCAATTTCACTGGGTACCAACTCAAACCATCACCTACAACACAATCTACCACCACTAACGTACTGCCTACAACGCAGACTCCATTAAAACTCCAAACACCACAGAACCGTTAATGGAAGAATGGCCTCAATTTAAGTGGATTTGCTCTGCTGAGGTAGCTGCATTTTTGTCTTCATTGATCACCTTAGGTGTCACACAGTTCCTTACTTCTACTGTCGACATTTATCCCTGCTGTGCAAACTTAATATCTTCAGGATAAATTTTTTGTACCTGTGACATGCACATTTCTTTGTCCACTTTGAAACTCTACAAAAATAAATTTTACGACTGCAGAGACAGGTGTCAACTTTTAAAAATTGGCTCAAGCTGGCTGAGGCTTTCCATAAATGCACAACATGCAGAGCATGGAATAATTTCTACAAGCTTGAATATACAGTTGTTTTGTGTCTCTCTCTCAAAAAAAGTGACCATTGTCAGGAACATCTACATTCCCATCTACTTGTTTTTTTCACAGCTCTATTCCCTCTGAAATGCAACTTTCGCAATATGCCCTCCCCAAAATCAAAGGAGATCATGTATGGATCGGCATGGGATTTTAAGGGTTACATTACTCCTCAAAAGAAATCCCTTCAGCTCCACCCACCCAATCTCCCTCTTTCATTCCAAGGTTTTAAATTCTGGCGTCTCTATCAATATCATTTCTGATAAAAATCGACCTCATTTTCCAGGGATTTGCAAAATCACAGATGATGTAACTTACTTGACGATCCAAATTGACCCTAAACTTTTAGATGTGAAGTGTCTGTTTATGGAGGAAAGGAGAGGTCAGATGGCAATCGGGGATGAGCTGTTTGTTGATCAATCAATGGGGATGTCTGTCTATCTATGAGTAGATGGTGATGACTTCCCTGCCTCCTCCTCGTACCATTAAGACTCTCTCTAGGCCCTCCGTCAGCACCTCAAGGTACTCCATGTCTAGAAGGTCCACAGTCAAGGAAAAAAGTTTTTCCAATCATTGCATCAAAAACCACACGAGGCTCCATTTTGAAGCTGTGATGATTCTATATGTTTATTGAAACACGAAAGCATTTTGGTTCAAGTGAAATTAGGTACTGATGTACTTGAATTAAAATCTCAAATGCTTTGGACGGCACCGTTGATCAGTCAAGCATACGACAGGCCTAGGTTTTGAAAAGTGGATAAACACTGGGGGCGGGTGGGGTGGGACTGGTAGAGAGGAGGGGAGGGAGAAGAGTTGAAGGCACAGGGAATGGGAAAACGGGTACAAAATGAGTAAAATCGCTCCTCAACTTTCTCTATTCTGGCCTTACAAAAATGTGACGCCATTACTGCTCGAATCGAATCATCTGTGAGTTAAAAAAAACATTCCTTACACCTAACTCCCGCGGTATTTTACCAAAACCCCCAGAGCTGCCCAGAAATCCTCCGTCCTACAGAAACCCCATGACACATACTCTGAACTTCGACTTCAAAGGGGCACCTATCTGGATGGGAAAACTCTCAGTCCAGTCAGATTTTCCGAAAACTCCCACTGGATTTGGCAGGAACTGGGAGTAATAAAGCTACAAAGTCAGCATTCATCAATTGGAACCGATCCGGTGATCAACGCTAAAGGATACAGTAGTGTTCCCGGTACTTCTTCTTGGGTGGTCCCGGCAGGTTGAGAATGACCAGGTTGGCCTTGTGGGATCGATCGACGATGACTTCATTCAACCGCACTGCGTTGTTCATTCGCTCTACATTGCTCTGAGACCTGACCATCAACATAACACGGAGAAAACAATGTGACTAGCTGAACTACAATTCCAACCCAACATAAAAGGTGAGTCTCAAGTCATCAGAGATACTTTTGCGTTAAAGGAAAGACATCTTGAAAGAAATCCTCCATCAAATTGAAAAGAGACTTCTGCTCTTTCTGTCCATTGTAGTCTGCAGCTGAAAACTTTCAGTGGCCTCCAGTCTGGGTTTGAACAAAACGGCAAAAGAACATTAGACAAACAACTGTCCGCCCAAACTCACGGCTGTCTCTGGAAATCCAACTTGACCTGCTCCGTGTCCTTGGGTGTCTGCGGTGCCTCGGCTGAGTCCTTGTTCTCACCCACGCTGTCCTCGCTGGGGGCCTCATAGATGAGATCTTCTCCCTCGTCCTCATCAAGAATCCCTGGCGAGTCGAAGGGGGAGGACGAGGGCTCCTCCGTTGAGAACGTTACCTTCTTGTCCGAATTGCTCTTCTTGACCCTGACACTGATGTGCGACTCGTCCATGAACGTCTGGGGCTGCGGAGGGGTATTAGAAGAGATATAATCGGTGCCCGATTTTCTCACAAATAGTTTCCGAAGTCTTTTCCTCCACTATCTGTGGCTATGACTTTGCATCTTACCATTGGCAAGATACAGTAAACAGCCTTAGCCGAGGTTAAAAATGCCTATTTCAGACACAGCTTATGGCTTTTGCCTTTCTACTTCACAGAAGAAGCAAATAACTGTGAAGGGATCATAAGCCCTGTCTAAATTACTTTGCTACGGCTAAAACAGCACATCAGACTATGTAACCCACTGGCTCCAGCTGTAGCCACTCCCATAGATGGGTGTGCTACTGCTAGCCATAGCCGGTTGATTCAGACGTGGCCTGACTCACCACCATGCGGCTCTCCTTCTTCGTGAGCTTCATTTGTCGCAGCAGCTCCGACCGTTGCTCCATCATCATCGTCCTCTCAAAGGTGTAGGCCGCGATGGTTCCCGTTGGCTGGAGAAATATACGGAGGCAATTAAAGACGGTAGGATCAGTGGAAGAGCTGGGTTGAGGCCAAAAAGGGTGAGCACAGGCAGTATTTGAATGGCATAATGGTAGTCACTGCTGGTGCTAACAAGGCTGACAGGTTATTACAGATACGGGCCTGACTTAATGCTATATGATATTCAGTGAACATGGCCTTCATCCACTGAGTGTTGACTTTAAAGTACAAGGGGAAAAACAGTTCAAGGTGATTTCAAGGGCAGAATTATTTCTGCCACACATCAGTACACATCTGCAGAACTTGCAATCTGCCGTCTTGAGTCTCGGCCTTGTCCCTAACTTCTTCAGCCTGGCTGTAGCCACTGGCTAACACAGTGGACAGACAAAGCCATAGCCACTGACAGCAATTCCCCTTCTGACATCAAAGGCAGAGTGACAAACACTGTAAACAGTCTCCAGTTTGGGAAGAACACAACTCTTCTGTTTAAAGTTTTTTTGCAAATTGTGTTGCAAATTTTCTGTGAATTGTTCAGCAGTGCCATCAAGCCGGGCCCTTGGCACAGCATGCCCTGGTTGATGATCAGATCAATAAGCGTTGTTATAATGACACATTCTTGGCAATTACGAGAGAAATGAGTTGACGCTGCTGGGACTTACCATCTCCACGACTTCCACTTCAGCCTCAATTCTGAGATGGTAGAGGAACGTCTGGAGATCTTTGATCATCTTCTCACTGTTGTCCTCCAACTCTGCAGACAGGAGTCAAGGTGACAGACCAGCAAATAACACGCCATTTTTCGTGACAGTTCCCTGTGCTCAACTCTAGAACAGTCTGGCGCCTTCCATGGAGGTGCACTTAACTGTGGTCTGAACACAGGACATTCCATAAAAGCCCTATTTTCCGATAAAGTTCAAAGTGAACACGTTCCCATGTTTTTCAAGCTCTGCTCCCTTTTCCTAGAGAATCCTTTACCCCTGGCCGAGTATAAACAGCACAAGGTTTGTCGCTTGACTCTGGCATGAGACATCTTTTGAAATTAGCCACATGTCTACCACACAGCCTCAATTCTTCCAAATCCTCAACTTGTGCATGGAGTTTGGAGGATTTTGGAAGGTAAGGGTCACGGGCAGAACACAAACTTTTCCTCTGAATGCAAAAGGATACGTGCAACAGTGAAGATCCGGAGTTTGCAGTTTTTCCAGACTTTGTGCTGTCGGAGCAAAAAGGGTAGAAGAACCAGCATCCCTCCGTCATCTGAAGGGGTCGCTGTCAAGGAAAAAGCTTCAAGCTCATCTGGACAACAGGTAACTGAAACTATGGCCTATGTCTGTTCAAGGAAGGAAAATAGGGCTTTCCTGCATTTCTGAGGTTTTGAGATAAAATCTACTTGTTATACATGTATGTGCTCTAAGACAAATAGTTTACAAAGATGTACAATGTCCATGGGATTTCAAAATATATGTAAAAGTCTTAAAAATATACACGATATTATGTCATCTGGGACACCTACATGTGCTTTGTATCCACAGTGTGAAGCGTATTTGACTTAAAATGATGCGTAAATAAGTGTTAAGAAGAAAATAATAAATATTTAAACATTTACAAAAATTCAAATTATGAAGTCATCCTGACATCACTCCAAAAATATGATCTTTGAACCCAGTGAATTTCAAATTGATTTGACTTTGTGTAGTATATGAAAAAAGTTGTTACATTGTGATAATGTCAACGTGAGTGAGTGAATACACCATAGTGCAGGGACCTTCTTTGGCGGCACACTGTCTGTGAATTGCAGACGGCCAAAAGAGGGTGCTTTGTAAAGACAATGGTTGCTCATTGAGGTGACTTGACCCCCGCCGAAATCAGTTTTGGTATCTGTGAGGATATATATTAGTCTGACTTGGAACAGAGCTAAAAAGTAAAGGTAGAAGAAAACTAATAGGCAGTCAATGATGTAATCACAATGCCATTTCACATTTACGATCAAGAGTTAATGTTTTACCTAGTTCATTTCATGTGGATAGGCCCTTGTCCAAAATGCAAATCAAAATGTTTTAATCTTGTGGAAGTCAAACATAACAAAATCCTCTGGGGTTTTCCTCCCACCCCTAAAACTGTAACTGCTTCTCATTGTCTCCTCTCTCCAGGATTCTTCAGGCTTGTGAGCTACAGTGCCTAGGGTGCTTTTTAGGAATCCTTGGTGTCATTACCAGAAATTAATAATAACAACAATAATAGTACGCAAACAGGTGTAGACTTGTGTCTCAAAGCAGACATTTATTGACAGAATTGTGTGATGAATGTTCAAAGGATACGGACAATCCACCATACATCGATGGTGCCACTCTCAAACTTATCCTTGTTGCTGGGGAAGTTATTGATGTTCTTTGGTACAAGCAGTGCATTGTGGCTTGCTGAGACAGCACGCACCATATCTACAAGACAAACAGCCATGGTCTGGGTAACTGTTTGTGAGAAGGTCATGGGGACGAAGATAATTCCACTGAAGATGCCACCTGCTATAAGCTCAAGAACTCAGAGGCTAAAGTTAAGAAAAGTATTTTGCAGGGCACTGGATAATGGCACCATTACTATTCATGAAGGCAAGCCCCTGGTCTGCTTGAAACTAGAAAAAAAGAAACCACGCTGCGAATCCCTTCCTTTATTTCAACTTTTGTTTCTGTAACTGTGGATTCAGTCTTGGGACAAGCTACCTGCTGACTTACCGAGGAAGACTTTCCAGGCTTTATCATCTATTGACTGCCGCCATCCATATGGCCATCCTACCACCACCGTGTTGTGTTTCAGGCCGCCCAAACCGCTCAACTGCACACTTTTGACATCAAAGACAGAAACGTACGGTTTGAATGTTTCAGAACTGGGTCCAAGTTTGTGGTGCAGAAATTGGCAGGGGCTTAGGCTTATGACCGAAATGTCACAAAGTTGTGCGTAAATCTTAATGGCGCTTCCTTCCTTTGAGCATCTTCATGCTAGGCTCTACTCAGTACAGAGTCCATTTCACCGAGAAATATGACACACGGTTAAAATATTTGAGACTAGACTTTACCTTTGGTGTTCATGGCTTCACATGAGACCTGCTTTTGTAATAATCGACTTGAATAACCAGGAAACTGTGGTTTATCATACCAATTTTATTTACCCAGAGAAACTGCACTTTTCCTCACTGAAACCTCTGTTTTAAGGGGTTTCGTTTATCTGAGTTTGAACAAACAAAACACCTGCCATTTTGTCTCATGTCTGCTCTAAACAGCCTATCAGGTTCTGAACTTTAGCCATCCAAATGTAGTGTCTCTCGCAGTGAGTTAATACAGACCAAGACGCTCGAAACGAGCTTTGGGGTGAAGAGACTGCCCGCTAGCTGGACAGGAGGTGGTGAGCCACAATTCTTATCATACCATGCACTGAGTCCCTCCGTGACATCTTTGGCTACGAGAACGGATGAGAAACCTTTCACTTTTTCTTCATTCATCATGTTGCGCAGCTCCTGTTGGTGCACACACAAAAAGAGATACATCAATATTTCTAGTCAATTAAACAGAAAATGAGAAAGGTTACAGGTCGATTAGGAATGGTCGTTTCTTTGGGACAGCAGATTCACAAGTTATACAGGTGGGGTTACTGCTCCTATGGTAGGCTACTTGAAATCTAAGGTCGATTTCTAGCCACCTGTTTCTTGACACAGGTTTCTTGTTCTCATACTTGAAGAGCATGAACACGGCCCAAGAACACTGTTCTAGGAACAGGATCACACCACCTCCTTCTCGGGTTTTTGCACAAACACATAGAAAAACATGTGGGAATTTGATTTTTGAAGAGCTACAAAAAAGAGCAAGGTGGCAGACAATGCTGAAGATGATGGAAAAGTTTTGTAAAATTAGCATAACTAATTTTCCATATCACAGAAATGATGGTCCTTTATGAATACGAAAGAATGCAGCCCAGAAATAAACCAATACTTGGATGCCGCCATGTTGCTTGTTACCTGTCACTACCTACAGTAATTATCGATTGTACATTCCCGGCGTTCAAGCGGCTGACCTACCAATCAAGTTGTTCATGAATGCATGAGAACACGCCGCCCCAACTCAGCCCAAGCGGTCATTTACCTGTTCAGCAGCCTGACTTTCACTATATCTGCTCAAGAAGTCTCCTTCAAGAATGGACGAAACCAGCGTCAACCCACGCCCTGATGCACAATACAAATAACAACGTGTCAAAAAAGGAAATGAGAATTCAATCTTTCTAACCTCTAATGCTTAGAACCTGAAGGAAGTTCGTAGAGAACATTTTTGACAACTGAGAAACCCTTGTGTTTTGACAATAACTGTTCACTTAGGCAGTTTTCGAAAACTCATTTTCACCTCTAAAATCAATCTCCAAATTAGGCCAACAGTGTTGATATTAAACAGGAATACCGCCCACTATTTGTCTTTGTTGCATGTAGGTTGATGTTTCAGAGGCACCGTCCGACTTAATTCTGAGCTAATATCTTCAAAGTTAGGGTCTTAAAAATCAAGCAAACCCGGAGACGGAGATGAAGCCGAGTATTGGAAAACCATTTTAGTTCTTGTCACTGTTTATAACAGTGTGATGGGTTATTTCTGGATTCACTTTTTCTCCAGAGAACAGAGTCTGACTCTCAGGTTGCATCTGAATCTGTGGTCCAAAGTGAGATCAAGGTCCTCGCTTGATAGCAAAATACTTGGGGATGCGGTGACGACAGATGTCGCCTTACCTGCTTTCAGTTGGCTAGCAAAGGTCAGAATTCGTCTGTACTTGGGCTTCAGCTCGTTGTTCAGCTTGCACAGGACCAGAATCTGCGGTCTAAATTGGTCAAACATCATCGGGGATCGTTAGTCACTCCTCGTGAAGGGGACTATGATTAAAAAGATACATCCTTATTTCTGTAAAGGACTGAAACTATGTTCATTACTGTTGAATACAACACAGAGCTTGAATATCTGGAAAAAAAATCCCGCTACTGAATGGGCTACTTGAATGTGACAGCCAGCTCTGAAGATGAATTTGAGCAGTGATGGGGGGACACAGAGACTGGTTCCATTTCCTAGCGTACCTCCAGTTCTTGGTGTGCGGTGGCCGGTCCTCTAGTCTCATCAAGCTGTACCTAGCCGCTGTTAGGTTCAGACCGGTCAACCCATCTCCCCATTCTTTCTCGGCCCTGCGCGGCATTAGAAATTTTAACATCAGAAGGACAAGCATGATATCCAATGCGTTCAATTTTAGTCAGATAGATAGTTTCATATTTAGAAAATGTCTGACTGTTAGTAAAATCCATGTGTAACTTTTGACGACAGCTGGATATTCGGATACAGCCAAAATTTCAACATATCTCCAGTATTACATGCTTGAGCATGATCTCACTGCACGACATACAACCAAGTCCTGACATATGCCCTCTGACCTTACCCCTGGTACTCGATGTACTTGTAGATGACGAATGCCAACAGAATGGCGGCCAGTGCGTAGTACCAGCTGGAGATGAACATGAGGCCGAGACACAGGATCACCCCCAAGAAGGACAAGCTCCAATGGTAATACCTACGCATACACAAGCAAAGCAATATTAAAAAAAAAAAATCAAAACCAATCCCGATGTAAATGACACTCCAAACGATCCCTTGGTCATCAAAGCAGAAAAAGCTGGAATAACGCCTCTTTGCAATGCTGCTACCAATGTACATCTCAACTTCTAAAGTGGATGTCACAGAAAATTCATAAATACCTGAGATAATCCATTCCTACAGGTCCAACCATGTCAGGTGGATTGCTCTCTAATGATAAAGTCATCAACTGATTTTTAAACTCTGTCCCGGTTTCCTATGATATTTGACCTGTAGTATTATGGGCTACAGACCACGTAAATGAAGTCACAATCGTCACTGAGGCATGCTCAATACAAACAGTCAGTCCACATTCCACTGAGACAAAATTTCATTCAACGTTGGCCAAGCTGTTTGATGCAACATTACACCATCAGGCCATTTTCCGCATATCAAAGAAGAGTTTCAGTGGTGTGTGTGAAAGCACACGCCATAGATATTGCTTGAGAGGTGTTTCTCAAAACATTGAAGTAAAAAGTGATGAACAGAGTTGGGACAAAATGTGACGGTCAAACAAGTACTTTAAATTAAACCTTGGTCACAGTTTTATTCTCTCGACAGGAAAACAAATCACAGATGGACATAATCAAGGCCTTCTGGAAGGCTGCCAACAAAAAACATAGAATCGACAATATTTGCCATATCACAATACACATTAAGCAATTTCAACTGGGCGTTTACAAGAGAAAGTCTTCTTACGTGTATCTTGGTCTCCAATTCGGCGTCTTCAGCAGCGTCTGAAGCGCACAAGCTAGATTCACGAACATATAGCACATCAAGAAAAACCTAGGATCAAAAGGGACAAGGAAGAAGTAAATTCAGAGAATTTCACCTCAACTTCCAAAGAAGTTAAAATGGGTCACAGCCCGTCAATTCAAATGAGTTATGCTGTGCGCATCATATTTTGGGGGCGATTCTCCATTGCAGGAAAGCTCCAAATCTTGCAGGTTATACCTGCTGACTAGCTTTTGTAAAGGTGTCCGATAATAGTGTATAATACTGAAGGCTGGCTGCTCTAAGGACCGACCAACGATCATGGCACACTTTTGGATGTCTTGACTAAGGCTAGCGAACTAGTAATACATGTACTTGAAAATTATGCAGCAAAGTTAATGCAAAGATCTCGGACTGAAATGGCAAACCGGAATGAAAACGGTAAACAGGGAATGCCATCAAATCTCACATGGTGATGATTGGCGCCACGCTGTCCAAGCTAGCGATGATGATCCCGATCTCCGAGATGGCGGCGGTCAGCAGCAGGGCCCAGGTGGGCTCCCCAGTCTTGGACCCCCGGCCGAAGATGGCCAGGAACGGGATGATGTTGTCTTTGGCGATGGCCTGCAGGAGGCGGGGGGCTCCTGTCAGACTCTGGAGGCCTGCTCCCACTGTGGAGAGGAAGGCCCCGATCAGCACCACCCACTTGGTGGGGAAGCAGATGGCTGATGCCACCAAAACCCCGCCCACACTCTCACCGAATCTGATTCGAGATGGAGAGAGAAAGAAAGGCTTTTCATGTTTAAAAGTCAGAGCACACGGCAACATTATATTGCCTGAACTACAGACAAATACAGAGACCCAATGACTGTGATACCGTCTTGTTGCCAAGCGGGTGGCAGGCACGCGCCTAACATTCCTCTTTGACCAACAGGGTCTCACGACATCCCAAACACGTGCATGTGTGCTAAAACAAGGACCCGTGTGTGGGACCACGGCCCCACAATAGTGGCCTGCTTGTGGTTTAGTATATTGGCCGATCTTTGTGACAAAAATCATACTCATCAGTGTTAATTGGATAATCTGTTCATGACATACAGGTAATTCAACCACAGTTACACAGAAAAGGAGAAGATTTGGGAAGAGAAAGAAACAGCAGGTGCTTTGGAATAGTTTTAGTTTCGACCTCACCTAGTGAAACTTCAAAGCCAACAGATCTTCAGGTGCAAAACTTCAAAGTCTACACTGAATCCAGAGAAAACTGATTTGACCGTTAACAGCCAACTAGTAGAGAGGCACCAACTCATCATAAGCTGATTGGCTGATGATTTTGATGTGGGCCTCCAAGACATATTAGGTGTATTTAAAATGGGCAGTAAACATGGTAAACATTATTCGACAACAGAAATGACCGAGATTTCTTTGAACGCTACATTTACTGGAACATAAGCTCTGAAGTCAACTTACTTGTCTCTGAGAACCTCCCCTCTAACAGTTCCGGCAAAGAACAGGACGGAAGTCAAATCTGTGGCATTCGTCAAGAAAAATAATTGTTACTAAAGAAACAAAAGGGAACCAAATTGACTCCACTGGAATAGGAACATGAGGACGTAATGACGGACAGTTCAGCACAAATTCTCTCAACAATTTCAGGGGTAAAAAACATTATATTTCTGACCAATTCATTACTACATTTAAATCTTTTGTTAATTTTCTTGATATGTTATGATGCATCTTTAAGCAATAAAGGCTTTGGAAACATTCATCCAGATTTTTGAAGAGCACAAAGGATTTTTCAAAATGTTTTGATATATGGATTTATGAGAGGATTGTAGTCAGTAGAATATTGCCAAACAAATCTCTAGAACCGCAAAATGACTTAAGAAGACTAAAAGAAAAGCTTAGTTGGCAAGGATACAGATGATGCTAGTTGTCAGTATGGCACCTATGGTTCCCCTTGGTATTGAGAACTGGGCATCCTTCAGGTCACCAGACCTGTTGCTGCCAGCCATGATGCCTGGAAAGGTCAAAGTTCATAAGAATGTGATCAACCCATTTGACTCAATACAAAACACCTGTTAAGAGAAAGCCGTTCCAAGAAAAACACCCTGCGTAACAACAACATGTAACAGGTTTATGCACACAATGCGTCAATTAGGATCTGGAAAACCGTTGATGCTTTTCCACCAGCCAAAGCTTGATGGAGAATGTGAATGATCAGGTTTTTCCAGAGCAGATGTCATTTTCCTTCAAAATTCTTTCACCGTAACTTTGGTCCAATTTAGAACATTGCTGAAGATGGATCCATATAACAGCAATCTGACAACCACTCGTTCTGCTTACAGTTTTTGGCATCTTAATCACAAGGCTCCATTAGCAGCCAAGCTGGCATTTCCTGCCAATTTCTTTCACATTTACTTTGGAGACTGAAATCCATCCCTCCCCCAAATCCCCCAAACATATGAGCAGAAGATCTCACCAGTGACAGATGGGAAAAAGATAGCAAGGAGAATGTAGAAGTTTGTGGTGATGTCGGCTACCACCTGGTTGTTGGTACCCTTCTCTCTGGGCAGAACATCCCCCGCCTCACGGTACAGATTAAAGGTGTTACCTGTGGAGGGGAAAAAAAGACATATGTCTTCTGCCTTGAAAGTTCTGTGCTGGAAAAGTCTTGAGATATGGATGTGGAATCCAGCCCACTGGTTACCGATCTCAAGCAAAATACTGCAGGCACCTGCAGGAGGTTCCAAGTGACCTTTCTTAAAAGAAAGGGGTTCTGGGGCTTCTTCTGTAGTGATGGATGAAATGAAGGTCATTTGAAACTGTGGTGAATTACATTAACATCTGCCAATTTCAAGCAATAGAAAGCTTTATAGCTGCATGGTTTAGAAGTTTGATTTACAGAGCCCATAGATCACAGGTTTGAGTCCTACTGAACCTGCAAGGTTTACAAAGCACAGATTCAACATATTTTTGTGACAGTGTCTTGATTTGATGGAAACACTGTCGATTTGGTCGTGTCAAGTGATTTGCTTTTCTCCTCATGTTCCTGGATGCTTGTAGTGCCCTTTGATCAGCAAGGCACGAGATCAAGTGACTCACGTGTTATCTGTCCCGTTCCTAGCCCTGGGATCCCGTTCTGCCATTGGACGCTGTTCTCCTTGAAGAAGATGTGGCAGACCTCTGTTTCGTTCGGACAGTACATCTCACCAAGATCTGTCAGAGTGCCATTTTCAAAGAAGGCACAGTTGCTCTCGTTACTGCTATCAAACTGGAGGGCTATGTTGTTGTTCATGTCACAAAACCTGGGAAAGGAGAAATACTTTGTAAAAAATGCGCACTGAATAATTCCTTAGTCAGAATGTTATTGAGTATTATTTATTAACCCTAACCCTCCTCAATCCTCCGACAGGTGAAGGATTCAGGAGGGTTAGGGTTAAGGTTTGATTTCGGTATTGATCCATTTTCAGTAAAATGTAGAACAAAATCCCCACAGTGTTTTCTACTTGACCAATGAATCACACAGCTTTGATCTGGGGCAGAATTTATGGAATCGATTAGCAAAGGAATTTAACAAAAATACACTTGCTTGGTAGGACACAGGTTTCGAACTAAAATTTCACAACGGAGACTGCTTGTGAATAGTCATCAACTGATTTATGCTCAGCATAGAAGCAATCTTTCCTGGTCAGTGGCAGCTGCTTTCATAGACCTTGGCGTAACTTTGTACCATGCGCACGACTCACGTCAGAAACCTTTGGCTTGGCTGCCCAATGCACTTGTGGTCGATTTCAGAAATACATGTTCCCATTGTAGTTGCTAAGCCATGCAACTTTGTTTTTACATTAAATGTCTTCCATGGGAACAACAGCAGCTTTTATAATGATTGTCCCTTTCAATATCAGATCAGTCATCATACACTTTTAGTCTTTTCTTCATTGGAAACAGGCAGAAAATCCCACAGTTCTCACAAAGCAAAGCTAGTTTCTCATTGTTTCAAAAACAAAAAGGAAACTGTAAGTGTAAATGTCTTGTTTAAAACCTTGAAATCGATTTGCCACTGAACATGATTAGACCATGACAGCTGATAATTTCGGGTCTGTTCAGACCAACTTATGCCACCTAAAATGATTACGTAAGTGATATCATCATTTGTAGTACGACTCAGGTAAGAGAACGGGTGGTAAGTGAAATTACGCCATTACCTAAAAAACATTGGTTGCAGACATCTGCTTGGGTACGGAATGAAAGAAATGCACTCACACGAGGTTATGGGGGGTGAAGTACCCGACATACATGCTGAGAATGGTCAGAAGCACACAGAACAGAAAGAGGAGCGCACACTTGTTGACGTACTTGACGCCCACGAACACCAGCAGGGACAAGACTAACAGGATGCCGGTGCCGTACACCCGCATGTTGTTCAGCATGGCCGAGCTCTGGCTGGCGCCCAGCTCCGAGATGTCACCGAAGAGCGACAGGACGGGGGCGATGTACACCTGTAAGGGGGGTGAGGGTTTTCGTCATTGGCAGATTCTTGTTGCTAACACGAGCAAAGTTGTACAATGACGAGGAAAAACTGGAACCGTGTGAAATCGCAAATGACTGGAATAGTCTTGTTGACCATGTAAAAGAAGTCTCTTGAGGTGGATAAGAGTTTTTTTGACATCAAATCCCACCAATAAGAAACAAGTCCCACCAAAAAAACAATAGAAATACTTCTGGCTAGAGTGTCAACAAAATATAAAAATGCTGACAGCCCCTCCATGTACGCCCAGAGCTGTGCTCAAATCTCATGGGCCTGGTTTTCTGCAAGTGCATTTCTGCAAGAGCAAGCAAGTAATGCTTCTTTTGTTATCTCTGAGAGAAAATTCGCATTTCTTATGGGTTGGTGGCACATGGACAGATTTTCCTGTCCCAAGTAAATATTCAACTTGTCCTTATTTCATAACCTATTTATTGTTTCAAGACAGTCTCAGCATTTTGATATTTCGGTTTCTCTGAAGCTTTACAGTGTAAATCAAGACTCTATTGCGTATGTGTCCCGCTCTGTGACATGAGTCACGAGACACCGGAGCCAATTTTGCGCAATACGCCTCAAAAAAAAAGAATCTTAAACCATGAAAACCAATGGGAACTGTCAACATGTATCACCCACACAATGTCCATTTTCATTAGGATGCAACAACAGGTGATATATCAAAATCAAGAGTGAAGCTTGCTTCAATGCAAACTGAAAGCCATTACTGCAAAAAAGGCCTTATGACTCATTTTCACTGAGCAGATCACATACTTGCTTCATTAGCCCTAACCCTCCAAGGGTGCTTGGCTGGATACCATACCAGACACATCAGTTTGCATTGCTTGTTGAGTTGGCAAGCCAGCCCAGTATAACAAGATCCAACAGGTCAACTCTCCTCAAGGCCAAGCAGCCTGGGAGTCTGTGGCTGCCAGTCACAACAAGATCCAACAGTGGTACTGCTCAATGGGACTAACCCCCACTGTCTTGACATGGCAAGTTTGTCGGCTGCTACCTGGTGCCTGGTGCTACAGGGTGGACCAGACTTTTTCACCTGATGCACTGTGCTGCGTCTGGCAGGGTTAGGATTAAGGAGCATGACTACCCCCCTTGAGCAGAAGCCCCCTATTGGCTAAACAGAGCCATGTTGGTGGGGAGTGTTAACTTTGTTGGTAGCGATGCGACTGTAACACATGCATTTCATGGTCCAACCAAAGGTGCCTCCATTGCCAGGAAAACTCGGGGCAGTTTAACAGTAAATCCCAGTTTTCCAAGCCACACGGTACACTTACGATGAGGATCTCGATAGCACCCAGGATGTACATGGCCGAGGCAAACGTGGTCCCAAGGTAGAACAGGATGCCCACGGCCCCGCCCCACTCCGGCCCCAGTGCCCTGGAGATCATGAAGTAGGCGCCGCCCGCTGGCACCACCCCGTTGGTTGCGATGGCGCTCATTGAGATGGCGGTCAGCAAGGTCTGCCAAGGAGGGGTAGCACATGGATTTGTTTTAGAGAAATGTAAATTGAGCCTACGCAACTGGGCAATTTCAAATAAGATACAGAACAGCTCACCATATTACCCTCCACGCATAACCAACCAGTTGATTTTTCTGATAAACCTAAGAAATTCAAACTTTGAAATCAAGATGGCAGTGCAGTATCATTCAACTCTTCCGAAAGATGACAAAAATTTTACGATTTTTCGAGTTAACTCTGACTGATGCATGTTTGATGTTTGAATCTGATGTCACTTTTGACACTGCCAAGCCAAGTGAGGAAAAATAACTGCTTTCAGTTATGCCACTGAACTGGCATGCACAGGGGTGTTTCAAACAAACTACAGACACAAGCACCAGTAGCGATGAAATCAAGTTGGCAATGAAACATCTTGACAAGACTTACGGTGCAGCAGGATATGAGAACAATGAAGAAACTCTCCAGGGCACCAGCAGTACCCACGATCCAGGACAGACGAATGAAGAGAATGACCCCCAAGATGTTCTGAAGGCAGGGTAGGTAGACACCCATTAGGGTACCCATCTGGGCTCCTTTCTGGGGAGGAAAAAATCAAAACTACCATCAGACAGGATAGATACATGCCAAGCAGGGCACCCATCTACCGGTAAACTCCTCTAGGTAATAGTTATCAGGTCCATATTTTCTTGGAAGTGCTATTTGCAGAAAACACTGCTTAGCCAATTTACTCTCTGTCAAAAATCAACCAGGAGCAGTTGCATGATGTATACATCACATGACACTTTGGCCGGTATTCTACTAAGCAAATAGTTTCAGTGCTTGACGAAATTCAGTCCTTATCTGCTCCACAGAGTTAGGTCCAATATGGCAGGTACATACCCAATGCGGCACATATGCAGATGCTGTAATAATCATAATCACACAGGTATTTGGAGCACATCCATTGGGAACCAATCTTGGCCCATCTACAAAACAGTAACAATTTGTCAGGGCAAGTTTATGTACAACGTACGCACCACTGAGGCTCCCGTCTGCACGGGGTATGGAATGCACCTGACTAACTTTTATTTGAATGTACACAAAACCAAAGTTTCTCAGCATGTGTGCACAGTGGCAGTAACAACTGCAACACCAGTTATCAACTGCATTTTGAGCCGTCTGGTTCCATTTTACAAATCTGGCTTACCACGGTGGGCCTGTCAGACTTTCGGTCTCCTGGCATCTCAGTGTGCTCCGGTAGGGACTTGTAGTTGGCCAAGGTGTTGAGGAGGGAGGCAATCTTGGGCCTGTGCTCAATCTCTTCCTGCATACCAACAAGGGTAAATATTTACATGTGCATGTACAGCAGTATGTCTTGACATCAGACATATTAATGGGACACGACTGAGCCCAAGGAAGTCAAACCGATATTGTATGCCTCCAAATGGCTACATACATGTACATGTACTGGCCAAGTAATGGCCAAACAGCACGGCTTCAGAAATTATTCATGGCCGTCTGATCAGGGGTAGTAACAATTCAAGTTGTCTGACTCCTCACCTCATAAAGGGCCAAGTCTTTGAGTCCTCTCTCCTGGTCCATAAACGGTGACAATTCTGCTTTACTGCCATCGCCTTGGAAACCAAAAGGGAACAACAATGGATCAGTATCTCTGCAATGCTACCAATAGTCAACACATACATGTACATGTAGCATATTCTATGCGTTGCCCAGGAAACAGGATGCAAACAAGGCTGATATATGTTTAAGGATTGTAAAGGTACTTACATGTAGGCGAATATTTTGCTTCATTCAGCATATTAAAATACCGTACTGTTATCTATGGAATCCAAGGAACCAGTTCTTTTTACAAGTTTTTTCAAAGTAAAAAAATAAAACATTTGAAACTAAACGTGTACATACATACAAACAAAAAAGAAAAGAAAAAGACGAACAAACAAAAAGGGAAGTGTTAACTTGTATCAGTGAAGTGTTAGTTACATGTAAGTGTTTATTGTCACTGTTGAGACTACAATAGAAATTAAAAGGAACTATTGTTTATTGTAGAAATCAAAGCTAAGCCATCTGGAAGAAAAAAAAGAAAAAGGGAAGAGATTATTCAGAGACAGAACTGAACGAATGCAGCATGTCACACACACAGAGAAAACAATTAAATACATGTAGATTGCACCCCCCCCAAGAAAAAAAAACACACACACAAATTGTTCAAACATTATTGTTCACAAATTATTCATTTCGATATTGAACACATTTCAGAGTTGCAGCTGGTGGGTCCCACTGTCACCAAATGGTAAATACAGTGTATAATCCCAACCAGACGGGGAGGAAACTATGGTATAAAAAATTCAACACATGTACATGTACGGTATGTACATGTACATGGCTTCTTTCTCCATGCTCTCGGCAATTCTAGGCTGCCACGGTTCATATTATAAGGTAACCTCACTGTGTCAGGCCTTCAAGAATGAATAAAATGATAAATTGCTAATTGCTGAATGGAATGGTGTCAGGCAATTTTAGAATTCCTATGGGTTCCCAGCATCTCTTGAAATTTTTTTTCCAACTCTGGCATTAAATACTCAAGTTTTATCACAAACATGAATTTACATGTACATGTATTCATTAGAGTAGACACAAACTAATTTGACAGGACATTTTAATTTTATTCTTTCATTGATGCTCTCAACTTCTAAAAGTAAAGAGAGTTACATGCAACTTCATTTTGAATTTCTATTTGGCCGACTCATGAATAGGGTCCAATAACACAATAAGAAGGCCATGTACCGGTACTCATACCGTACATGTATTTCTCTCGCACAGGTCCACGTCCTTCCAAATCAACTTTGAGCTTGTCAGGCTGTCTCTTTTTTTTTTCCAGGCAATCTTTTCTTCGCGTCTTGCAGTGCAGTGAACTCAAAAGAACATGCCGCATGCTGTACAGGAGCATGAGTTCTCCGTTAAGAATGGTAATGGGGGATATCAAGAGTCAATCAAGTTACGTTCTGAATCTGTAGTGCTGAAGCCTTTGCCTCTGTCTCTGGCTTCTCCACCCTAGACTTTGGAGTTTCTGGCTACCCCCCCCAAAAATTAAAAGTCGCAAAAAGTGCATCCAACTTCATGCTATCAACCAAAAATTTGAAGTACTAGTGCATGTACCAATATTACTATTCAGCATGAACATTACGAGACAAAAATCTGAGAGGGAATGGAGTCGATAGCTTGAGACTTGGAAAACAAATTTGTACATGTACGTGTACCTGTCTGATCTTCAACATTAAGAAGTTACGTTCTGAATCTGTAATGAAAATTTGTTCACGTAAATTCAGAGAACATGCTCTTTGTCAAATGTGCCAGTGTGTTTTTGACATCTTAATGTGTTCACCTTGCGGTCCAAATGCTTATATCTGCAGGACTCCAGCAAAGATGGACATTCTGTGTGACTTTTGCCTGTGCAGTGACTTATCCATGTGACTACAGATGCATCCCGACCAGTGACACACATGTACATGTATCGGGAAGGGGGGGGGGCTTCTTGCCCCCAACAGATTTTTGAGTAAGGCTTTTGATACATTTTTTTTTCCCCCAACACCATGTTGAATAAGCCCGGGGCTGCTGTTGAATGACCACTGACACCAAGAGCTGGATACATGTACATGTATGCTGCTGATCCTGACACCATTCGACATGGAATGTTGGAACAGTTTTTCCCTTGGCCGTGTCATGATGTACAGGGTTTTAGTTTCCATTCCATACATGTAGTTATCACTCTCATTTTTTTCTACATTTTCACCAAGAGATATTAACTGTATGATATTATGGCAACTTTGATCACTTTGGGGGGGGGGTAATTTTTTGTAAACACTCCTGTAAATCCCCAGAAAATGGACACACATTGTTTGTTTCGTATCCTTTCTAATGGACGCATACAATCGGGAGTTGGGTGTAAATTCAAATTTTGCTCACTGTCAAAATATGCCTTTGGTGACAACTTTCCTGGTTTTTAACTGGTTATCTGGAACCCTGCATTTTGGATACATGTGATTAATGTACCAGCAGGAAATTACCAAACCTGTAGTAAACATGGCTTAGTGTGTTACAAATCAACTAAATTGTAAATATGTTTATCATTGGTTCTGTTTTCAACTGCTGTACATGTATGTTGGACTTTGACACACAACACTGAAAATAAATGGAAACTTACAATTAATAACTGGAAATGTACATGCATGATAACGCATAACCTCCCAATTCTGGTGTTAAGAGCAAGGGAAAAAAGCTGTTTGTCCATTCACAAGAAGGTTGCTCTGTTCTGTTTATGTGGCTCAGACCTTTTGAAGTCAGTTCTTTTAGTGGACCTTACGGTTACCATAGCTACTGGCAATGGATATAACACACATGTAAGAGGGGGTATTGTACGGTATACATGCACATGTATACCGTACAAGTACCAGGTACAACATTATTGCCATAAGGCCAATTAGCATGACTCTGCAATTGGCACAGTGCCAAAAGCTCGCTGCAAGTTTCATTTAAAACATAAACACTGGAAAAAATAAAAACAATGTTCCATGAACATTTACACGTACGTGCTTAATTAGAGAAGCAAACACTGCACATGCATACATGCCCTTTAACCAGGATTGTGCATGTCTTGAATAAAATACATGTATGCTGAGGGAGGTAACCATTCAAAAATTCACATTTCAGACATCTAATGCAGGGATTATTGGCACTGATATTCACTGTCACAATCTTGCACCGATCATGGATGGTGGTGGTCTGGAGCCCTGAACTGTTGAATAATGTACATGTATGTACTGTAAATGTCAGCAAACCTGCCTACATGTACATTTGCAAGAGTGCGGGGCCAATATGGTACATGTACAGCACATGTACACATAAACTATGGTAATGCATCCGTGCTCAACCTAGCCAGCACAAGACTGTGCCTCCTGGCCGACAGGCAGATTAGTGGGTGATGGTATACTTTCCCTCAACCAAGAATAGCAACATCAGCTAGGAAACACTCCTGCATAATGAGACGTGAACCTCCACACAGAGTGGGGGAAGTCACAGACCGTTGCAATAATTGACAGGATGTGCAAGGGGACAAGGACGTTTCTAGAAGTACATTTGGCTAGCTTATATTATGACTGAGTCACTCTGGTTTCAGTGATGGTTGCCTAATATTTGTTTACAGGCTTCTCCTTTATATTTCCGGTCCAGTATGATTTTCTTGGAATGAGTCAGTGGCAATACGTCACACTCTTGTTCCTACCATTGTATAATTGCCCTCAATTATCCTCAATGACCATTAAAGCTGTCTACATTTACTTCTCTACTTTTTTGAGTATTATGCTACTTGAGGCGTGTGTGGCAGCAGTGCTGTCAATTGAAAATACAGCGTGTACAGTAGGCTAACAGATATGAAGATAGTGGGTACTTACCGTTATGTCCTATTTCTCTAAACAGGTTGCAGTTGAAATTCCATTTACATATTAAAAATGCAGTCCCTCTTGAAGGATTTTTTCCACCATAATCATTTTCACAAATGAGAAATATGGCAATAGGCCATACACATTTTCATGCAACTATTGGGGTCAGAGTCAATGTTTCATACAACGTCCTGGTACACAGTTTAATTGCAATGTGGCTTTACTGATCTACATGTACATTTACTTTAACTCACCCTTGTCCAAACACCTTGAAGTCCTGCTTTAATGTTTAGTGAGTACTATGAATACAAGTAATTTGGGACTTTCTTTTGGCAAACTCTACTTTCATAAAATAATTTGATGCCCACGGGGTCAAAAGTCAAAGTTCACTGGGCTTGGTTCAAAAGTTTGTGCACTTAATCTGACATTTCCATATGGAGATACCAGTTCAGGTGTTTAAAGTTACAGAGAGAACTTGACATGCCCAAGTTCAACGACCTGTGACTTACACACTACATGTACATGACCCCAAACACCAAAATGCTGGAGTGGAAGTTTTCTCATACATGTAAGACCCAATAATTTCAGCAAATTTCAAGAAACTCTGTGAGACTGACCCCAGGAAGTGTTTGATCTGACACAGAATGACCCATTTGTATTAAAGGAGAGGAATTTCTGCCGTCTCTCATTTTTATCACATTTCTGGGTAAATAATAGTAATTATTAATAGTACTGGCGTACTGGTCTACTAGTATCTGTGCAGACCCGTTAGGACTTTGGCCTTATAATATTGTTTTCTACATCAGGGGTTTCATGGCTACAGCTTTGATATTTGACACTGATCCTGGATCGAATGTCACACTGAATCGCTGAACCTTGTCCACTGAATTTGATGTCGGTCTTGTTCATGATCATTGGTCTGATACTTTTGATCATTGTGATTCTGTTAAATTATTCCGCTAAATACCACGGAAACTGCAACCCCTCTCCACAAAAGTTACCAGTACAAAAAAGAACCTTTTTAGCAACACCTATGTACATGCACATACATGTACATGTATGTCCAGTGCTGGTGTTGCTGGTTCATCTTGTGAGAGGGCGCTTTGAAAAAGATGTCCTGCAAAAATTCACCCACTGTAACAGTGAAGAGCCTGGCAACTGCAATGCTGGTGTTGTAA